CAGGGAATCGAACTCATGCTGCAGTGGCTGGTGATAGCTTCATAGTACTAAGATTTAATCTCTTGTGCCACCAGGGAGGCCCCTTATAAGACAGTTTGAATATAGTCTGCCTCACTAGATATAGCCCCCAAATTTCCAATGTTCAAAATTATCTTCAAAGCAGTATGATACAGTTTAACCCTACTATCAATTTTTTTAACGTTTTTATAATATATGCAATAGGGCTATATGAATATATCCAAGTTGTCTTTAGATAAAATTTTACTCATGTATTTCAAATCTTTTACCTTAGCATTTTTCAAATGATGAATATCCATGTAGTGAGTTTTAAGAAGTATTTTTTAAGAAAAAAAAGAGCAGAAATTATTGCAATGTATCTCTATAGAAAGTATAGGAATTGGGGGGCCTCCTTGGTGGTGCCAAGTGTTTAAGTCTCAGTATTGCCAGGCTGTTACCAGTCACTGAAGCATGAGTTTGATCCCAGACCAGGAAGCTAACACTACACACATGGCTCAGCAGACCTCTCCTGTCTTGCCCACTACTCCCCTCAGCAGTGTATTTCAGTAGATCTGTCTGTTCTGCATCCCACTTTGCTTCTGGTGAGTCCTCTCACCTCCCGCATCTCTGGCCTATACCCCCAGTTCTTGTATGCATAAATAATCTAAAAAAAAAAAGTTTGGAAAGAAATTTAAAGTCTGTTAGCCATTGCCTATTACTGAAAGGATGGATCTCCTGTGCATGAAGCTAGTCTTGCCCTGGGCTTTTTAGGTTACTCAACAACTTGAGGAAATCATGACCAATCCTGTGTCTGGAAAATAATTTCTCCCTAGGAGTCCTGTGATTATTCTATTTATAGCAAGTCTGTAATGATTTAAGCATAAAAACAACTGAAGAACTGTTACTATAATATGTTCATAACAAGCAGCAATTTATACTAAACTTTGTGTATTGTTGGTGTCTCTTTCACATGTGGTATCTTCAGTCTTGTCACAGTCTGGTTTTTTAATTTTTAAAAAAACTTATTTATGCATACAAGAACTGGGGTGTAGGCCAGAGGTGTGGGGGCCGTGAGAGGATTCACCAGAGACAGAGTAGGGAGCAGAACAGGCAGATCTACTGAACTATACTGCTGAGGGGAGCAGCGGGTAAGACAGGAGAGGACTGCTGCGTCATGTGGGTTAGCTCGCTGGCCAGGGATCGAACTCATGCTGCAGTGGCTGGCAATAGCTTGATAGCACTGAGACTTTAACCTCTGCACCATGAGGGAGGCCCACAGCCTGTTTTCCTTTAACTCCATTTTCTTTCTGTATTCCTCCCCAAATTCCATATTGATTGGTTTACAGTGGCTTTGTCACACATATATATTATCTATACATACTTTTCATAAAAGAGATACATCATACATACCTCATTTCCTGGCTCCTTTCAGACATTTTTCCTTTTTATATGTAAGCTTTGAGAAAATTTAATCTAAAACAACACTATAAGCACTACTAGTATTAGTATAAAATTGGATTATAATTCTATAATATTCAGAATTAATGTTTTTAGTCTTATGCTGTCCCAACTAAGTACATGATTATGTGTCTTTCCATTCCTGCAGGTCTTAAGCTTTGGCCATCATGAAATTGTGCAGTTTTCTTGTTCAGATCATCTGCTTATGCCATAGCATGACTTAACACTTATTTGAAATTATTAATTTGTGAAGCTGATTAATAGATGTCATTCTCATTACACAATAAGGAAATCCTATCAAAGAGCATGGTATCTTTTTGGCTCCCTGTTTTAAATCTCCAACACCTAGTACAAAGTAGGTACACATAATATTTATTCAATATTTAAGGATCAATTTGTTTTCATCTTATTTGTTTGGGGTCAAAGCCTGTGCTGTCAACATATATAAAGCTAAAGATGATTATGCTTATAACAGGTTTAAGCAACTTTTTAGTTGAGATATTAAAAAAATTGAAAATATTAAAATACTTGATACTTTATGAATGCAATTTTACACAATTCCTTCATAGGATAAAAAATATTTCTAAATATAGTTTGTCTATTGCAGCTTAATTCTAAGGTAGATGATGGGAGAAGTTGCACGTGTAAGCTAGCAGTGAAGTGATTCAGATATAAACTGAAGTAAAAGTCTTCAGATCATCTTTCAAATTACTTTCATATTTTTACACATTTTCTATTTGTGTATGAGTTTAGAGGGATTTGATGACCTTGCAAAAGTTAGTATCACCAAATCTTTTATTTTCTAGAATAATCTACTAGTGTACAAGAATTAGATTTGTAACTTTTTCATTGGAGTGGCTATAGGAAAATACTTGTGAAACTTCATTTCCCTAAGACATTTGTCACTTCAAGTTACATATCCATCTCTTAGTAAAATTAAATGTAAAAAAAAAACCCTCAGAATTTTCAAAAGCATTCTCTCTTGAGGTTCAGTTCACAAATACCTCTAGTAGTTTACTCTTGTCTTCTGATCAGTAGTATTTGTAAGTTTAGAATCAGTCAAGGACAAAAAGGGAAGGATGTGGCCAAATTTTGTATCTAATAGGCTGTTCTTGCTAGTGTCTGTATTTTCTCCTTGTTTTATCATCCTGGACACTGAATATTAAATATTAAAATATCCAAGAAATCTGCTTAACTTGGTTTGTCTTCCAAACTTATTTGACCATGTAACTTATGAATATTCCTCAAAATTAACTATGTAACATACTGAGAATTGCTAGTCTGGCTGCATTCTATAGATTGACTAGCCCATTTTAATCCTATAAAACCTAAAAAACAAAAAAATAACCTAGCAAAGCACAGCAAAAATAATTCTTAGACTCTGAAAAAGTATACTAGTTACCAGAGACAGTGGCAGGTAGGGGATGGGCTAGAGGAAGAGGATAAGGAATTAGCTCAGGAGCTCTGATGGAGGATGAGTGAAGCATATGCACATAAGGTGGGGTGAAGACACAGTCCCCAAATTATATAGTGATGTAAATGATTGACTAATCAATAAGGAAAAATACCTAACCACCTTGATTGTACTGGTCCCCATAACTCCTGGTAACCATTGTTTTATGAGTTCATAAACCATCTATTTACTACGTTAGAATCCTAATTGAGTTCATGCTTTATATTTTACAGAAATCTACTTTGTTCTTTTTGAAAAATAAGACATTTGCCATCTCTGGTTTCTCAGCACCTTAATGATGTTCTATAATTCCTCAAGGCTTAATAATAGCAATTTCATAAACTATTATGCTCTTAATGAGAATTTGGGGGTGGGAAATTGGTATTTTACAGCATTTGAGATAAGATGCAAGCCTTATTACCTTTACGGCCAGCAACTTTGAAAACTGTGATAAGAGATACATTGAGATCTTTGAGTGGGTGGTTTTTCCGTATTACTTAAAAAATAATCTGAATATACATGGCACCAACGGGGTTGAAAGCCTAGGTAAATATATTCTGAAAACCTTCCAAGGTAATTGTGAAGCACATTTCTAGAGAAAAGTCCTCCTTTGGATAATATATTACTTAACATAATCATTTGCAAGCAGGATAATTTATTTGCTATAAAGACAGCAAAAGCTTTTGATTTTAATTTTCTTTTTGAGTGTTTCAGACCATAGGTTTATGCTATTTTTTTTTTCTGAGTACCCTGTACTATGGTTTCCTGAATAATTTGGGTATTCAACCATTACTCCTTGATCTGGTTATCAGAATGAAAACGATAGGACTGCTTTTCCCCAATGAACACATTTCTTTCCCTTGATCAGCCAGCTCTTCCTGTGTTACTAAGTTTCAAAGAGTTTTGCTAACTCCTTTCATCCCTGTGAGTAGGAAAATGGTAAAAGAACAGAAAATCCTGGAGTATTTCAGTATAATTTAATTACATTTTTGTATTCAGTCTATTCTTGCCTCTATGAGTTTTGTTGTCTTACTAATAAACTACCCATTTATACTCATTTGGCTAGAAAATCTGTAGTATGCCCCTACAATCACCTGCTCTTTCCTTTTATCCTCAGTGATCTAATAAGCAACCTTGTTATATTTTCTAGACCTACAGCACTACATTACCAGCTCATCTCTTAGAGGTTCTGTTATTCTTTCTATCCTTATATTCCAATAGCTTTATCCCACCAACTCTTGGTCATATATATTAAAATGTTTTATCATTCTTGTTCAGTGAATTGTCACAACACTTTAAATATAATTAAGTTCTGGGGAAATTAAATGTTATTTCTTTTTATATTACATCTTACAGTTGTCAGAGATTAGTTTTTAAAAGAAAAAATATTGAATTCATTTTGGTGACTTAAAACGAGAATTTAGATAATTATTTTATCCTTTCAAGTAATCTAAATTTATCTGAACTTAAAGCTGTTAATTTTTCTGCTGTCTTCACAACATCAAAGAGGAAATACTAAATGCCACCTTTCTCCTAAACTATCAGGAGCTTAGACACATACAAATTTTATGGCTAGTAATCTAAAACTCTTCTAAAAATGATTAACTGTCATTCTATCCAACAAGAAAACAAATACAACAGATCTATCTAATTAGTTAAGACACCAGATACTTGTTATGCAGTTTCAGTGTCTAGTAACAAACCTCTAAATTTTAAAATTCTGTTTCAAAACTTCTAAATACTAACAGCACATTTTAAAAGGTTAATGCTCACTTTACATACAGACATATCAGAGTATGCAGTTATCAAGAAGTTGCATTTTGAAGTCTAATTTTGGAGATCAACCTGGCAGTCTCCAAAGATTTCAATATATATTTCAAGTTATTAGAGTAACTTTGAAAAACAGAATTTTACATGGGATGGGTGAAATAGTGTCAAGTAGCTGGACACCTCTAGTAAGCTGACAGATACCTATCTATACTTTAAATGTTAAAATGATTGACTTGAGTTAGCTCAAAGAACAAGTTACATTTTTAACTTACCAACAATTAAAAGCACAAAATATAACCATTAGAAATTAAAACAAAAACAGATAAGCATTTTAGAGTAGTTTTTTTTCAGTATTTTCATTTTCACTCTGACAAAATACGGTACATTAAAAAAAATTCAGTATGTCAGTTTTGCTTATTGCTATCAGGGTTTTTTTTTTTTTTTTTTTTTAAAGAAAACATTTCTATTTATTGTCCTAATTTAATTAAAAGACCCAAAACCACTTTTCCATGTTCAGTAAATAACAAAATCCCTGTTTTTCATATGGGCTAACAGCACTAAAATATTCTTTATAAAAGATTATGTAACTTGAAATAAAAATGTTAAGATAATTCAAAGTAACAGATCTATAATTAATACTAATAGTGATGTTGCTAAGTTTACATTTTATATTTCCCTTAGTAAGTGTGTGTCAACAGATTTTGACTGTTGTTAACCATATCACTGGTCTACTCCAAACATGCTAACAAACTTTATTATTAACTGAAGAAAGTCACCTAACTTTGGTTACAGTGCCAGAAATGGACAGTTTAAAGGTAACTGCTAATGATAAAAATGTTTTTCCTTTTATTCTCAGTGACCTTTGCTATATGTGCATTTGAAAATCCATTATTGAACAAAAAATTACTTTTAAAATATATATTTCAAGCCTCAAAGTTAATTTGAAAGAAATGCATATAATATTTCATTTGGAAAATAGTGAGTAGTTCTTACCTACGTAAGTTGTACATCTGATATCAAAATCATCACATTTTTGTATTTTTAAAGGGAATTAAATGATTTTTTCTGCTTTATGCAACTGATTTCAGATGGTACTTTCACATGTAAAAAATAATTTACATTGAAAAATCAAGCACAAATATTCTAAAACTATCAAGACAACAAGTATAAAAAGCAATGAGAAAATAAAATAACAAATTTCCTATTTAAAATTCTGCATTCATACAGACTATGTATGAATGTTTAGCAATTAACTGTATCAAACAGATTGTAACATACTTTAAGCAACAATATAGAAAGGTGACATGGGCTATTTGAAATTCAAGCTGCACTTATCAAAGTGCAAATCTGAGTGATGTCTCCAGAAAGGTACTGGCCAATAATGTATGAATAATTATTTAGTAATGTAATTCAAGGTTATTTTTCTTTGAGTTGCTCTTATTACTGCTTCTTAAATATTTGCGTAAATTATAAATATTTATTGTGTTGGGGGTTTCTGAACACAAAGGAATGTATAAATTAAGCTATTTTTTTCTTGTTGTGTAAGCACATGAAGATATCTTTCTTGTTCAAAATGTCTTAGATTTAATCTTATTTTCATTTTCAGATTTTAGAACAAATGCAAAAGATTAAAAAATGATCATATTCAAATGCTCCCATGAAACACAACACACCCAAATGGAATTTAATATAAGTTCACTAAAGAATATCAAATTAATCATTTCCTCCTATAAATATTTTCTTTTTATTTATTTTGTGTTTTGAAGTTTCAATTTTAGGTACTATTAACAGAAAATACATAACAAAAGCTTCCTAACAAGTGAAAAAAATAATTATAAATGTTGGAAAAATTGGCCTCATTAACATATTTACACTTTTACTTAATACATACTCCATTGAAAATTAATTATATGACATTTATACAAGCATTAACATTTCCAAATCACTCTGAGTAGTGAGCACTTCAGTTCTTTACTGTCTATATCCAAAGTTGAAAGTTACTCAGTTTCTGAAAGCAATACTGACAAGCATCAGAAATGGTCAATCTGAGATATTGTTGACATATTGTTCTGCTCCTTCACCTAAAGATGTTTCTGTTGAGTAAGTGTCCTTATTCTTTTTTTTCTCTTTGCTCTGTTCTTCCTGCAGCTTAAGAATTATGTTTCGGATTTCTTCTCTTTTTGTTCTCATTCTTGGGGGAGGAAACCAATTTGCCAAATTCATAGGTAGTTCAAAATTGAGAATTGGATTCTGAAAATAAAAAAGAATGGAATTAGAAAATTATAATAAATACTTTACTTTCAATCAGAAAGGCATTCCAGAGTTAAAAATGAAAAATCAATAACTCATTTAGTATGTATTTACTCATCACATACCACACATGGTATTAGGCAATGGAGATTTAAGATAGTTTTCTTCCTGCACATTTCACAGTCTATTCCAGAGATCAACAAACTACGGACAGTCTGTCAAATTCTATTTATTACCTGTTTTCTGTGGATGCTTTCATACCACAACAGTAAACTAAGAGTAGGAATCAAGATCATATGGCTGTAAAAAACTAAAATATTTACTCTCTAGTCCTTTATTAAAAAAGATTTGCTAAGGGGGCCTTTCTGGTGGCTCAGGGGTTAGTGACAGTGCTAGCAAGCTATCTATCACCAGTCACAGCAGCACAGAGGGAGCTAACCCACACGGCACAGCAGACCTCTCCTGTCTCACCTGCTGCCCACCTCAGCAGTGTATTTCAGCAGATCTGACTGTTCTGTTCCCTAGCTCTGTCTCTGGCGAATCTTCTTACTTTCCTCGCACCTCGGGCCTACACTCAGTTCTTCTATGCATAAATAATCTTTTTTTTTTTTTAAAAAGAGATTTGCTGACCCTGGTTTTAGTTAGATAACTGAGTTAAAACAACAAACATGATAAGTATTAGGATACACAAAAAGTCCTATGAGAATATATATCTGAGGATTTAAGCAAAGAACTAATGTTTAAGTGAAGAACTGAAGAGTGAGTAGAATTTAGTCAAACAAGGAATGACAGAAGTAACAGTGAAGAAATCCAGGTAAAAAAAATATGTAGCGGGTCTAGAAAGAGCAATTGGAGAAATTGAGTGACCTACACACACACACACCCCCCCCATATATGTGCCTATATATATACCTATATATAGCTATATACCTATAGAATACCAGAGTAAGAATTGTAGGAAATGAGAAGCTTGGACAAAAGTAAGATTGTGCTAGAAACGTGATCAAAGAATTTTGGTCTTTAACCCATGAGCAAGAGGAAGCCACTAAAAAGATTTAAAACAAATAACATGATTATATTGGGGTTTTGGGAAAACAACTGTGAAAAATAGAAGGCAATAGCTTGAAACAATGATGCTACTAGTATACTTGACTTAAAAAGTGATGGCAGGATCAAGAACTGAATATACCTGATATTAAGTAAAATATTTCACAGGACTTATTGGTACAATGGATGGTGGGATGAAGAGGGAGTCAAAACAACTATAATGAATATTGAGAGGTATATGTGATACTGTAACTTTGAAGTCAAAGGAAAAGAGGATTAAAAGGAAGAAATGGTAGGGCCTCCCCGGTGGTGCAGCAGGTTGAGTGCAGCACTGTGAAGCTGTCCACAGCCTCTGCAGCGCTGGTTCGATTCCCGGCCAGCCAGGGACATACCTACATGGCATACTGCTCCCCTCAGCGGTGCTTTTGGTCTTTCTGCCTGTTCTGCTCCCTGCTCTGTCTCTGGTGAATCCTCTCACCCTCCTGCGCCTCTGGCCTGTACCCTAGCTCTTGTATAAATAAATAAAATCTTTTTTTTAAAAAAGGAAGGAATGGTCAACAGAATCATGTTGTTGGAAGGCCAGGAACAATTTCAATATAACGATGAGGATGGATCTCCCTAATCAGAGAAAGTGTGAGAAAGATGGACTTAAAGAATGTAAAACTGAAGTTGTGATCGAAATGACCCATGAACACCGCACAGTAGATCAGCAAAAACTGAGACGAGGTAGCTGACACCTTAAATTTTGATCAAAACTCTCAGGCTGAGAGTATGATCAAGAAGAAAGAGAGAGAGAGACAGAGAAAGAGAGAGAGAGAGAGAGAGAGAGTGAGTGTGTGTGTGTGTGTGTGTGTGTGTGTGTGTTGGGGGGAGGGGGAAGAAGGGGTAAAAGACAGTGCTATCAAGCTACCGCCAGCCACTGCAGCATGAGTTTGATCCCCGGCCAGCAGGGAGCTCCACAGCACAGCAGACCTCTCCTGCCTCACCCACTGCTCCCCTCAGCAGTGTATTTCAGTAGATCTGCCTGTTCTGCTCCCCACTCTCTCTGGTGAATTCCTCTCACCCCCTGCACCTCTGGCTTATGCCCCAGTTCTTATATGCATACATAAATAAATCTTTTTTTTTTTAAATACTGAGATAAAAGAGTTGGGGGGACTGATAAAAATAACAAAACAGGTGCAAGATGGAATCCTTCAAGGGGTGTGGGGGCAATACAGACTTAATACCTAATCTCACTGCAGTTTTAGCCCCTCCCAAAGTGTAATTCTAAACCTATCAATAAAGAGTTTCCAGATCAACATAAGACCCCTGCCTGCCCCCGAGGGAAGATTATACCTGAAATATTTTTTTTTTTTTTTGCTAGATGCCTTACCCCATCCTGTCTATAATTAGCATCCATTTTGTGTAATCCCTTGCAATATCTAGATGGGATGCTGCCCTGATTAATGAATGCTTATAAAATAAAGCTAATTAAAAAAAAAGAAAGATGAGATGAATGCAGATAATAGAGATTTGAGAAGCAAGTAGGATTTGTAGGAATGAAGATAGTGAATATAAGTATGTCAGTAATAATTCTGTGAGGGGAAAAAAGAGGGTGAAAATGGTAATCTAAATCATGGGAAGAGTCAGTGGACATAAAGAGTTGATTAGTGATGAAAAATGATGTCAATAAGCCTTGCATTTAATAAAGTCTTCCATGCCTTAAAACTTTTCTGATCTGGGAATTTTTGCTTCCTGTAATAGTTTTTGAAATGTTAGTCTTAAAATATATTATAGTCTTAAATTATATTTTTTTACATTAATTAATATGAGGTCAAATATACTACTTTATAATTTATTATATGAGATCCAACAAACTGAAACCCACCTCAAAAAAGCTCTCTACATACTGCAATACGTATACACCACAATCACTGAAGTTGTTTTGCTGGGGTACTTTTGGATTAGAACCTTTCATAACATCTTTGGAAAAACTTCTTTTGCTTCCTTTTTTTACTTCCCATTCCACTTCTAAATACCTGCAATAATGCATATATAGTAAGAATATATACATAGTCCTTCACTCCCTACCAGAATACAAAGTACAAGGAGCAATTATGTACTTACTCTCTTAGAATTTTTACAACATTTGACCGAGAAGGGCCTCTGAGTGAATCCATCAGTAGTATACAAGGTCTGTACAGTAAAAATAATCAACTGTTAATATATTATAATGTTAAAAAGGCATAAAAGAGGTACATAACAATAAAATTTGAAATCTTTAAATTTCCCCCTTTATGTCTTACTGAAACTTAGAAAAAAAATAAAACTTATAGTCACATACACCCTAATACTTAAATCCATGATTATATTAAATGCCAAATTATAAAATATTAGTTTAACTGAACCTTAGTTATGAATATACTTCAAAGATGTTCCTTAGTTGGTTTCTACAAATACTTCAAAGTTTAGTTAGAAAGTTTAAGTAATTCTGACAATTTAAATCCCAATATTTCAAACTACCAAAATTGGGACTATGTAAAAGTAGAAGAAAAATAATCCTGTATTAATGAAAACCTATTAAAGGTAACAAAACAGGTGATTATCACATAAAATAATTATTTTAGGATCCAGTGATTTTTATGCTATTCTACTTTAGAATACTCGCTATAAATAACACTGAACTTTCAAAATTTTGTTGTAAACCTAAGAGCAAGTCTACTACAGAAGAGAAAGTCCTGGAATATTTAAGATCTAGGTTCTTCCTAGCTAAAATTTTATGGAAATTGGAGCAGATCTCTTACTACTCTGTCTCAAATTTTACTTTATAAATGAAATTTGCTCTTCAAAAGCTATTAATGGAGTTTCAGTCAACTTTTTATATGAAAATGTGAAGAGATGAACTCTAGATATAAGGTAATACAACTTCACCTGTTTGGAGCTCTGGGAAAAACCTCAGAATATGTACTTTTGAGAACCAAAACAGATTCACTGTCATTTGGGATTCCCATTTGGCACATGAATCTTAAGGCTGCCTTCAGTCATCGGGCAGCTTTTATGTAGTAGCTGTGGAACTAGTATAAACTGCAATTCCCAGTTCTTTGTTATTTTCTGTTTCAAATCACTACACATCCAAAAGGAATAATGGTTCTCTATGGTTGTAAGCACACAAGTGTGTATATATACACAAACGCATGAAAAAGTGAGTAGATGAATGACTTAAAATGATTACCCATTCTCTCTAGATCTCTGGGTATTAGGAAAGACCCAACTTTCCTCACTGACCCTGACAGCCTGTGTGTCTCTGACTTAAGTACTAAAAACTATCTCCAGTTGTTATTTTATTCTATGAGTACTTAAATAAAAATTATGTTGTTTGCAAAATACACAATTAATGCTTACTGTTTACAGATATTAGGCTTTAAATGCCACTGTCCTATTTCTGAATTGCAGTTGTCATCGGCAAGGAAACCATCATCACTGCTATCATCCTATAAGAGAATCTACTGTTAGTATTTAAAATGTACAATTTAAATAATCATCAAAAAAATTAGCACTATTGAAGATAAAAATCTTTTAATAAGTATATTGCAAAAAATTTTTCTATTTAGATAATCAGACACTAGAAAATATGGCATGTAATTTGGTAATAATTATCTAACGCCACATTTAGCATTTAATTAAAAAAACTTGCCTGTCAGATTTATGAAAAATTGTTACAGCTACTCAACCTAAAATAAATGTTTAAAAACTAAATATATTATTCTTTTCCGATCAAATGCTACTGCTTTGATATTAGTGTATATTTAAAAAAAGTTTGTTGGCTAGGATAACTGCTTCACAAAAGGACATAAATGACTTGTATTTACTATTCTTTTACAGAATTTTTTTTCCAAATCAGAAATATTTAGAGATTTGGAAACTGTTTCCTTGAATAAATCCTATATTCACTTCACCTAAAAGATAATGGCATTGTGTCTTATTCTGTAGATATCTTGAATATAAAACAGATTTTTTTGTTGTTCTTTGAGAAAGGGCAACCTTATTACCAAAAAAATAAACAGTAGGAATAGTAATAATAATACTGCAACTAATTAGTTCGCATAGCTGCTACGATCAATGGAGCATAAAACACGTGCTCATTACAAACCTTGAATATTAATACATCTATGTGTCTATATATGTAGAAGAGAAGTCATAGCCACATACTATAGATCAAGGGACATCACATCCTTCACATTCATCACATTAACCAAACTGTAACAATGGTATAGTACAAAGTTATCTTTACTACTCAATAAACCCAGTTTGTCCTAACTAAAGAAAGATCAGAGAATTAAAGAAATGGTATGCTGTAGGATTTTTACAAGTTTTTCTCTCAATATAATATAAAGTCCTCTTTAACTGGTCATAAAGTTTTTCAAAAATGTAATTTATTCTTAGTGAAATTTTATTAGAGCAAATAGACACTAAGGAAAATTAGAACTAACCATTTTTAGTTTTGACTAAGTATTGTCTGTTTTGCCATGACATATGTTCAAATGTGTATAAATATATATATATAATTACATGACAGAAAAAATGGAATTACTGAAAAAGTGGGAAAAAAATGTAATTTTGCTGTGCCCATACACCGCATACTTAAAAATTGAATGTTAATTTAGACCAAAGATTAAGTATGGACCATTAATGCTTTAAGAGAGGAAAAAAAGAGGATGGTAAAGGGTTATCACTGTGGTTGAGATAGGAGATTTAATTTTACATTAATATTCTCTAAGATGGGTATTAATTTACTAGTTTATTAATATTAGTTTAGCCTGCATAGCAAAAGAAAAAAATAACCAAACTACAAAACCCCGAAAAACTAACATATTTATCCCGGCAACTCTGGAATTAGAGTTTTAAGACTCAAATCCTGAGGGCATGTGATAAGTTACTGAAGAAATTGCCTATAGGAATCCAAAGAAAATCTTTTAAATTCGATAAAATATTATAGACTATTTGTAAGATTTCACCTGGTTATCATGATCTTCTGAGAAGTCGATGAGTTCATCTTCAAGCATTTTACTACCTTCAGTTGATTCATCACTATAGTTTAGTCTGATTTTGCTTAAGCCATCTGTAGCAATAAGAAATACTATGTAATTAATGATACAGTAATTAAGACTACAAAATAATGCCCTAGCATGTAATATCAGAAATAAACATGATTAAAATGAAGTAAAATAGGCTTGTCTTTGAAAAAAATGAAAATAAAAATACAAAAATGAAAATAATCATGGTAGACTAGTAGTTATGGATGAGCTCTCCAACTCTATATAATACCTTCATGTTTGATTACATTCATAGACTTTTCAATAAAATAAAACAATACAAGTCCAATATGTAAGTGCTAGTACTATGAAAATAAATGAATCATAAGGATAAGTTGAAAGTGATGCTTGTAGAGATCTGCTTCAAGACTCTAAATACTTAAAAATCAATTATTTTGCTGAAAGAAGTTAATCACACAAAACATTTCAATGAAACAAAAGATTTACATGAAAATAATGAAATCTGAGCAGGGAATTTAATGCCAGTGACACTAATATTGTTTACTATAGAGCATACCATTTCTAAGTTTTAAAAAGTAAGACTTTAGACAGGATAAATTTTGGCATGTTACTAAAAGAAATTAAGAATATTAATATTAGCAAGATGGAATGGGAAGACAGAAAAATATGCTCCTGAATAAATTGTATATAATCTAACTGGTACTATTTACCAGTACTATTTAAAATAATACTATTTAAAATAATAAAGTACTTTGATAGTCCTTTTGTTTTGCAAAGAATGTTTTCAATTAATCTGTTTCAAAACCCAGAATTTTTATCTGTGTGTGAGGCTAAAATATCTCTATTTGAGTAAAATTAGTCCACATCCCCAGGCAATACAGAATTAGTCAATTACAGCCCAGTTATTCTAGCAGTAAATTATTTCTATCTACAGGAACTGTCATGCAAATGAGAACCTGATACAAATTAAACTATATGTACTTTCAAAAAATGGAAAAAAATAATTGAAATAGTATATTCAAGTCCTCCACTTATTTCATTTGGTAAACAAATGTCCTGGTATAAACAGAAACAATAACTTAATCATCTGTTCTCTCAATGAGTCCCAATTATTGCAATACAGTGAGATCATCTGAAGATGCTAAGTGTGACTTTCAGAGTTTAAACATACATTTTCCATGTACCATAGCAAGACAACTATTTCATAAGATGCCTAAATGTAAACAAAAAAATTAAAGTAGTGATACCACATATTATTTTCTACAGTTGACCTAAAGAACCTAATCCCTGTGATAAGTAAAATACAATACCATTTATTTATTATAGCATATTATCTGACACCAGAAACCAATACTTGTGAATGTATGTGTTTGATGGTTAAAACTGTTAAAACTTTCTGAAATTCACAATTACTATTAATCTAACTATACTCCCAGATCAAGATGAATCAGATCACAAAAATTTTTACAAGCTCTTTGTATCCTAATTTAATATATCATAAAATAATACATTAAACTTTATATAGGGTGAACTGCTAAACCATCCTGAGATAGTAAAAGTACCTCTAGATAATACTCTTATTTAATGTACTTTTGGGTGAGTGATACCTTGGAAGTTTCTGACAAAAGCTCTGGGACCTTATTGCTGGGAAATGTATAGACTCAAGAGCACCATTTTTCAAATTGTGGGACACTATCATCAATAGATTAAGACAAGCATTAAAAAGAAAGTATCAGTGTATCACACACAATGAAGGTATAGGCATACCTAGAAGACACTGTAGGTTCAGTTCCAGACTACTGCAATAAAGTGAATATAGCAATAATGCAAGTCATATAAATTTGTTGTTTCTCAGTACACATAAAATTTACATTTACACTATACTGTAATCTTAAGTGTACAAAAGTATTATGGTTTACCAAACAAAACAAAACAAAAAAAACACAACACCCTACCAATCAACAATGTACAAAACTTAATGAAGAAATACTTTACTGCTTAAAAAAAAGTTAAATATCACAGAACTATTAGAAAAATGGTGCCAAATAAATTTGCTCAGCACAAGGTTTCTATAAGCCTTCAATTTGTAAAAGGTACAATATTTGAGAAATGCAATAAAATGAGGTATGCCTACAAATTAATTTCCTTTAAGGAAGATATAGTTGAATAGTTATACAATATACTAATAAAACAAATTCACATACCATGCAATTTACTACTCATATAGCAGTGTTTAATTCAGTGGTTTTCAGTATATTTACACATGTGCTGTGATCACCAGAATGAATTTGAAAACATTTTCAAAATATTTTTTAAATCTCAAACCTCAAAAAGAAACCCTTTATTATTTTTAGCTTTCCTATCCCTCTCTCCACCAGACCTAATCAGGCACTAATCTCTAGATTTTCCCTTTTGAGAGATTTTAAAAAAGTTGTTTTTTTTTTTTTTTTAAGATTTATTTATTTATTTATACAAGCACTGGTTACAGTCAGAGGCGCGGGAGGGTGAGAGAATTCACCAGAGCCAGAGAGGGAAGCAGAGCAGGCAGAAGGAACGAGGTACACTGCTGAGGGGAGCAGCGGGCGGCAGGAAGGGTCTGCGCGTCATGTGGGACCCTCCTCCGGTGGCCGGGGAGCAGCCGGGGATCAAACCGGCACTACAGAAGCTGCTGGCAGCTTTGCAACCCAGTGCTCAACCGCTGCGCCACCGGGGAGGCCCTCTTTTGAGAGATTTTATACAAATGGAATCATAGTATGTGGTCTTTTGTGACTACTTTCACTTAGCATGTTTTCAAGGTTCACACATGTGACATGTATCAGTACTTCAATGGCCTAATGATATTCCATTGAATGAACATTATTTGTCAAACTGATGAATATTTGGGTTTCCCTCCCCAAACTTATTAATATCAATAATGCTGCCATAAATATTCATGCCTAAGTTTCTGTGTGGATATTTTTATTTCTCTCGGAGAAATAAATATATCTAGGAGTGGAACTGTTGGGTTATGTGGTAACTGTTTAACTTTTTGATGAGCTATCAAATTGTCTTTCAAAGCAGCTGTGTCATTTTAATTCCCACTAATTATGAGGATTCCAATTTCACCACATCTTCACCAACATTGTTACTATGTGACTTTTTAATGAAGTCAATCTAGTGTGGTGTGAAGTAGTATCTAATTGTGGTTTTGATTTACACTTTCTTCATAACTAATGATGTCCAACATCTCACATGTTTATTGGTGGGATTTTGTTTTAAAGGGAATGAGAAACAATGCACACTGCCTTGAAGGCTGAGATTCTATAGAGCCTAAAATGGTAATTAGCCTCTAATGTGGCTGTTAACTACCTGTTATTTTTTTTCTACTCAAGTATTAAAATACTAAAATTAAAAAAAAAAGTATAGGCAGGACTTCCTCGTTACCTACTTTGCCTATCTTCTTTTCATTGTTTGCCTGATGAAACAGACTAGAAAGTAAACCAGAGAAGGAAGTGTTTATCCATCATTTTGACTTTTTATGTGCCCTTTTGCTATATCCACTAAATTTTCCGCTTTTGCCTCATATTTCCCAAAGGGCAAGAAGATCAATACAATGGGACCAATGTCAGCTTTATGTAGTTTGGTATGAACAAATTAAGTATTTTTACTAGAGTTCAACAATACTTTTCTCACTAAAATAACACAAGCTGGTACAAGTACCAATATGTTCAGCATTCACAATTTTTCATATTTCATATTTCTTTCTGAATTCACATTTTTTTCTGTCCCATACTGAGATTTTTCCCTTCAAAGAAATGTATTAGATCTATGAAAGTTTTGATATGTTTGCAAGGTACAAACTACGAGTTTACTATGTAGATCATCTTCCGTTTGTGTTAGAGGGGCAATTATACAACTGAGTGATAAGAAATTTAAGTATTTGAACTGAAACCTTAGATTTCTCTAACAATTGCTAGAAATATGGAATTGATTCTAGGGCAAAAAAGAATTTTCTAAAACTGAGGGGCAACAAAAGCAGAGATTAGACTGTGCCCCCTGAAAACAATGAGGGAGATAGAGTAAGGAATAAAGAATTAAGTTTTAATTTGAATGTCAACAACCATTTAGAAGGAGAAAGCTCTAATTTCCGCTTCTGGCCACTTGAACTTAATTCGCCCATCTATAAATGGATTGAACTAATTAATTTACCTTACAGATCTAAGACTGTGCAATTACTGTTTACACCGAATACAGAAAATGTCCTATGAAATAAAAACAAATCCAAGTTTCTATAAATAGAAAATATTTATTCTACAATTTGAGTAACTACAAATTGAACTATTTTTAACAACTGCGCTCTTTGAGGGGTTGAGCAGAAGAGACTGACTGGCAAGAGCGCTATAGCGATTTTTTTGGAGTGATTGAAAGGTTCTAAATTTTGATTGTTGTAGTGATTACATGGGGCTATATGTACTTATCAAAGCTCACTGAGCTTTATTTGAGTGAATGCTATTTTATGTAAATTATACCTGAATAAACCTGACTTTAAAAAAAAGTAAGCCCTGAAATCTTAACCCTATTTATAAAAAATCCAATTTATTCTGAATTCCTTCTTTCAAAATATTTAGAAACATACCTGTATGGTGCACAGAACTTAAATATTCATTCTGTAGGCCATTCTCACTTTTAGTCCTATCAACAACTTTCTGGCATGCAGATTCTCCTTTATTCGATTCTTCATTTTCACTTGCAGTATGATTAATTTTTTTCGGACTACATTTCACACTGCATACGTTTCTCCGATAACGAGGGTCACTTTCTTCCTGTTCAGCACTTGAATCAATTACAGCTATGCAATGCTTTCTGTTTAGTATCTTCTTAATTACAGGCTTGGCAGAAGAGTTTTGTGAACAACTGTCCATTTCACTGGCTGAAGGAGAAGAAATACAACTGTCCTCTACAGTTGAACATTTTTGCATGACTGTATTTTCATGGTAATGAGGATTAGGTTCATACTTTGGTTTTTCCAAACCAGGGAAACAAACAACAGCCAAAAACCAGTGTGCACTGTAAAAAACAAATGAAACTACTGAATAAATTATTAGAAAAGTTTATTATATTTGGCAATAAATATCACTTGAAATTTATTTCTAAAGATTCTGTGAACAATTTATTAAGAATGCCCAAATTTTTCAATTTTCAAACTAATCCACTCATTTATATGACCATTTAGATTTATTAACAGAATACAGTATCTACTCAAAAAAACAGTTTTATTGGTATTATGTAGCCTACATTCACTTTTGCAAACAATCCTTTGTAGTTTTTCTTGCCTTTGGAATGAAAAATTGTTTCTTCAGGCAATTTAATAAAATGTAAATTACATCACTGTAATTCATCATTCCCATTTCTTTTTCTTTGTCCTATTTATGTCAGAAAATAGGAAACTAGCCCCAAGATTAAAATGTTTTCAGAAGCTTAATTAGATTGTATAATTTTGGGCATTTTCTAAATACTGCAAATATGTAGCTTAACACTTTTTACCATGTCTGTTTTTTTTAATTAAGGCAGAAATTGATTAATATTGAAAATATTAAATACTTCTTTAAAATGTAAATACCTACAAGGAAATAACACATCTGATCTAATCATTATCACAAAACTTAAAGTTATTACTGCTATCGAGTAGCAGTATTCCTGCTATCAAGTAGTACTCAAGATATAGCTGAATTTGGGTATTAGTCTGTAACAGTAGGCTACATGCCATGAGTAAGTGCTATTGCTCATATTGGCTAATATTCATTAATCTAACAAACAGTTTTATTAAGGGCTTATGATTTGTTAGGCACAGTTCTATGTGCTGGGATACAATGAAAGGGCAATAAATGTTAGAGAATTTATTGGCTGAACATAATTTGTCCTATAGTATAGGGTATTTCAATAGATATTGGCTGAATGAAAAAATGAGTATCTTGACATGGATAAAAGTTACTACACATTCTTATTTCTGCAAAATGTTAAAATAATCCCAAAGTAGTACTAAGACACAGCATTATCTCTCTCTCTATTGGCACAATGTTAAGTACAAAGGTCACAGAGGTTGGTAAAGGCCAGATGGAAGCATGCTTCTCTCCTGTTCTTAATTATTAATCCTTAGTACCTTAAGAATACTTCATGTCAGGCTAAGGTAGTAGAATGAGCAACATAACAATGTCCTCCCTTTATCAATTCTGACAGCCAACTATAGTTGACATCACAATTTTAAAAAAGTTAAAATGTGAAAAAATGTTTAAAAGATTCATTAAATATAAGTGATAAGTGATTCTCAACCTAAAGCTGTATCCTAACAAAGTCTCTCAGTTTTAGATATTTCCTAGCTATGGCAACATGGATAGGCCATAAATTTTCTGTTGCTTTACCTAAAAACCAGGAAAAGTTCTACATAGCAGAAAGGAGAAAGCTAAATGAGATATACCTGAGGGAACTTTCAACTTCTCACAGCCACAATTCTGTTCTTAAAGTCCCTTCTATTTGTACCTCTATTGATTCCAAGTCATCAGGGGGAGAATGGGCTAAAAAAAGGTAATTTCAATTATCTTAAAATGGATTAGATCAAATGCCATTTCTGTTCCTTGTCAATCACTGAAAATTCTTTTTTAAAAAGACTTTATTTTTGCATAGAAAAACTGAGATGCAGGCCAGACTGCAAGGAGTGAGAGGATTCACCAGAAAAAGCGGGGAGCAGAACAGGCAGATCTATTGAAATACACTGTTAAGGGAAGCAAATGGGCAAGACAGGAGAAGTCTGCTGTGCCATGGGGGAGAGGTCTCTGTATGGGGATTGAACTCAGGCCATCAGGGTGGGCATTCTTGGTGGTGGCACTGACACTTAAACCCTAAGGCTACCGGGGGGGGCCCAAAGATTGACAATTTTTAACAAATAGCTTATAAACTTTTAAATTTAATAACCACCAGGAAATTTAAGAATGAAATAGGTGACAATATATGGCATCTAATATAATTACTGAAAATAAATATCTGTGGCCTTTCCTCTTAAAGAAAAAAAAGAGCCCTCATAATTTTTTTATAATTTGGAGGCTATTCTCCCACCTACATATGGCATAGCTCTCTTGCAGACTCTTTCTTGACTCTACAACTTTGTTCATTCTTTCATTTTTTATCTTTCATCAGCTAGTGACAAAGATGGATAAATTATGTGTACCTCAAGTTATATTTCTATTTAAATTTTTTATAACACATTTCTGACAAATAGTTTTTCTATCTATAGCCTTCCTTTCTTCCTTTTCATCTTGTATGCAGCTCCCGTGTTACTTTATATGACAAATTTGTGTCAAAAATCTTATTTGAGGAGAATGAAGGAATTTAAGATAATTATATTTGACTAAAAATTATATAGTTCTGAAAAAGATGAGCTTTATAGCATAATCAATGTTTTTATATCTATTCTATCTTTGACTGGGTTAAAAAAACAAGAGAGCACAGGTCTAATGGTTAAAACAGAATTTTAACTAAGGAGTTTGATTACACTATAAATTTGCTTTTCACAGTAAAAAAAGAAAAAAATTATATTTAAAAGCTAGTCTGGCATGGCTAAGTTTATGAGATACAAAGAATTTCACAGAATAGGAACTTCAGACAAAGTTATTCTGCAATTATGATAAAATGAGATAAAGCAAGGTCAGTAGATTATCTAAGCACAGATAAACACAAGGTCACACTACAACCTACAAAATACCAAAAAGCCCCCCTTTTTATCACATGGGTGAATTCTACTCTTCTACCCACGCAAATGCCTACTTCCTTAGGGCCTTCCCTGAATCACTAAAGCCAAATTCTGTTATAAAGTTAAAACACACTTTTACTAAGGTTCCTTGGCTGCCCATGGCTGTATGTACTCCCTTGAAAGTAATAAATGCAAGTAATAAATTCAAGTTGTCCAATTACAGGTGCTTATTCTTTGGGGGGGGGGGGTGTCTCTGAGTACAGAGCATAGGAAAACAAAACAAAACAAAGAGAAAACAAACAAAAAGAAAGAAACTCTCAATGTCTCTCCAGGCACTGGAAGAGGATAACACAAAATGCTTATCCACCCCTATTTACTTAGAAAATTGCTTCAAGTAGTCAGCATGGTTTTCAATATGGGCAAATGGCATATTTTCTTCAAGCAGCTTTTCCTCTTTTTGGTTACGAGGCAAAGTATGTTTTAAAGATTCAAAATCTTCCAAGTGACCTAATCATTTTTCTGTATAATGTATCCCTCCCTATAGGATGTTTGCTAGACCACTAGAACCCATTTAAAAAAGACATTATTCCACAATGATCAATAAAAATAAATTAAAATCAGAAAAACCTATTGTCTACTATATAAAATTTAGTATCTTACCTGAGTCACTGAAGAAATGCATTAATTTTCATAAAATAAGCAGTGTAAGTATAGATATATAACACATTTCAGAAAGAACCTTAAAAAGGGGTAAATTCTTTACTTCATTAATATATTTTCTAAAAACTGTTATCATATTTACATAAAGGAAATTCTTACTCACGCTTCATTAAGGGGTACAAAAATAAAATCCTTCTCAAAAATATCCACATGTCGGGTCCATGTTTTTACTCTCCCATGCCGTTTTTGCTGTATTCTGAAAAACAAGAGATAAACTATCAAGTTTTTGAAATGCTTCCAGTGCTTCACTTATATGCAGCAATTTACAAATTATGAGGGCTAATATGTTAACAGATCAAATAGTTTACTTGATGATTTAACAAGTTGGGGGGAGAAAAAGACACTATCTATAGATAGAAGATGTGAAACTGTCCAAACCTGAATTTGGAGGACAGATACTGAATTTCTACCACTATATAGTAGGGTAGACCAGAGCTACTATTTCTATTAATACAGAATTGGTACTAGCAATCATTTTGAGAAACATAGCAGACCTGAGAGAACTAAAGAGCTGAAAGTAGGAAAAATGTGAGCATTATCTTACAGTAGATAAAGCAGGATAGACTGACCATTTGTAAAACCAATCACTATTATCAATTTTAAAATATGAAATTAGGAATCACTAAAATAGCAGAAAATTTATGTTGTGCACAACAACTGACAAAATTTACCAACCTTTTGTATCTTCTGAGTAATTATCAACAAGTAATAGATTTGAATGCCATCACTATATGGAGAGGAATTATAAACAAAATAACTCAGGCTTAATATGAATGTCCGTAACACCTTAATTTCCTAGTATGTTAATTTCCTTAACATGTCTGAGAAGAATCATCCACAGAACTCAGTAAACAGATTCACAGATTACTCTCTAAAACATGAATGGGACATCTAGGTAAAACAGAGCAATCTGTATTTAGTAAGTATTTTTTTTCTTTTAACTATTAAGCATATTTGGGAAATATTGATCAAGACTTTAGACTAGGTACTCCTGAAGCTTCAGAATATTTTATTATATTAATTTTGCAAACTGATAATATAACTAAATTCTCTCATCTCTGATAACTGTCACTTTTATTATGTTATTGTCTCAATACAAGTAAGAGACTTTTTACTAAGTTAAGCAAATTACTATATCTGCTTAATATTTTCAAAGAGCTTGACTTACGATAGATTAGTTGTTTCATGAAGATTTCTCCTCTCTCTCTGATTAAGGCGTTTATAGAAAAAAGAACTGAATATATGAATTCGGTCAGCTTCTTCTTTCTTCAGTTTCTCAAGCACCAAATATCTATTTTATGAAAAATAATTCCAATATAACAAATTTAACAGCATACAACAAAAAGTCAAGCAGTGATCAAATGTCTAGTCAGCATCAATCTCTATTTCTAAAAACTGAAAAAAATATATCAGTAAAGTTTACCTCATATCTTTAGACAGTGATACTACCAGATCACTGAAGTAATGAGAACTGGTATCTGAAAGTAAAACTATGAAAGAGCTAATCTTTTATAAGAATACATTCACAAATATTCATAGCAACATTTATAATAGCCAAAAACAGGAAAAGACAGAAATGTTTAAAAACTAATGAATGGGAAAATGTGATATAGTCATACAGTAGAATATTATTCAGCATAAAAATAAAGTACTGCAACAAACTATAACATAGAATAACTATGAAAACATTATGCTAAATGAAAGAAGCTAGTTACAAAGGACCATGTATTGTATGATTCCATGTATATGAAATGTTCAGAATATGTAAATCTAGAGGCCAAGAAGAGATTGGTAGTTACCCAGAACTGGGGATAGTGTTGGAAAGAAATGGAAAATCCACTGCTTATGGTACTCGGGTTCTTTTTGGGGATAAAAATGTTAAATTGACTGTTAATGGTTGTATAACCATCTGAACATACTAAAAACCACTGAATTTTACATTTTAAATGGGTGAGCTACATGTTATATGTACTATAATTAAGAAAAAGTCACTATTTTGTTTGAAAATTCCTAAGCTCAGGTTCTGATGAAAGAACATAACTAAGGGATTCTTTCACTTTAGGGCAACTCAGTGTGTCCCCACAAAAGACAAGACAACTAATCTAGCTCATGACAGTTTAAATCAATTGCTAAATTCTATTAATACTATATTCAAAACAGAGCACATAATGAATTAGCTTTAGTTTATGCCAAAATGGGTAAATCATACAGCTTTTACTGGCCCAAACTACAATGGCTACTTTGTAAAGCTGAACTGATAAACAAAGGGATAATTCAAGTTTAAAAAGGAAAATTATTTGTGATTTAAACAAATAGACCCTCTGCTTCAAATTTAAATAGACACATGCCATTTAAAGTAATTAGTTTTGTCTTTTTGCTGATATACATTCACTAGTATTCCTGTGACTATGTCATTCTGGGGTTTTTAATGTTCATGTATTTAATGATTAATTAGGACAGCAGTTTCTCTATTTTTAGAGTTAATGGGGAAATCCAAATCCAAGTTTAATACTAAAACTTGTAGGAATTTCTTACATTTGGTTGCACTTTTTTTCCTTTCAAAGCATAAATGACTTATTGAATATCACAGTGAGGCTGTTCACTTGCTACAACATAGAGAATCCAATGATCAAATCATGCCTTCTTTAATTGTAGGATAAAACTAAAAGATGATTTCAAGGTCAGTCTGCAATTCTATGTGGCCTCTGAAAGTAAATTTTATTAAAATAATTATTTTCTGCATGCTATCAATATTCTTGAGATGTACTGCCTTTCTACTACTTATAATATCAGTAAACTTTAAAAGTTTGTTTCTAACTTGAGTTAGAAATGGAAAGCAATATGTAGCTCTGATAGCAGCAGAATCACTCATTTTAATGGTGAGGTTAAAAAAAATTTCCTCATTTTAATTCACTTCTAAGAATGTTATAAAATATATAAAGATTTTTAAAATCATGGATATAAATTATCATGGGTTTTGTTAGGATCCTTTTTAACAATGTGGAATGTTGTTTTGCATTCTAAAAGATAGAATTGTAGACAATGTAAGATTACTGTGTGAAATTTATTTTAAAGTGTAAACTATAAAGTGTCAAAGGGCCTCATGAAAATATAATGAATTTCAAGAGTATAAATGACTATAAAATCTCTACAATAATGTAAAATGTGGAGACTGCTTAAGTATGAAATAGAATGAACAAAATGTAAACACAATGCAGGAGTTCAACTTATTTTCTAAATCCAACTATATGTTTTCAAAACAAAAAAAAATTATATATGAAGACTTAAACAGGTTAAAAGGAATGAATAAAATTTCGGTATACAAACACAAACCAAAAGAAAACTGGAGTAGATATATTCATTTTGAACAAAGTAAGCTTAAAGATAAGGGAGATTACCAAGGATAAAGGGTATTGCATAGTAATAAAAGGGTCAATTCTCCAAGAAGATACAAACATGTATGTACCCAACAAAAGAGCTTTAAAATACATAAGGTAAAAATAGAGATTTGTGAACTTCAAGTTAGTCTGTATCTGCTTTAACCTCTGTTATACTGACACCACTGAATGTATTATCTTTACAGTTTTTTTTTTTTAAAGGATTTGTTTAAGGTGCGTGTGTGTGAGTGTGTGTGTGTGTGTGTGTGTGTGTGTGTGTGTCGGGGGGGGGGGAGGGGAGAGGATTCACCAGAGACAGAGTGGGGAGCAGAACAGGCAGATTGACTGAAGTACACCACTGAGGGGAGCAGTAAACAAGTCAGGAGAGGTCTGCTGCCATGTGCGCTGCTCCCTGGCGGGCTGGAGATCGAACTCCTGCTGCAGAGGCTGCGGACAGCCTCATAAGTTGCCCTCTTAACCCCTTGTGCCACCAGGGAGGCTTTTCTTTAAAGTTTTTACTCCCTTTAATTTTACCACAGACTCTGGGTTTTTTACCTCTCAAATATCTTTAGAATTTATTCACGGGAAGGTCTTTCTCTCCTGTTTATCTTTTAAAATCTACTCTCCACTCTATGGGGACTATACCAGAGGGATGGGGGAAGCAAATATTGTGTAAAAATGAACAATGATGTAAAAAATTAAAAAAAAAAAAAAAAAAAAAACTACTCTCCAGGTCCTGTCCTTATAGTTCTTGTCCTCATTTTAATATCCCTACCTATACACAATTTCATCCATTTTCAATTAATTAAAGTATCATTTGTCAAGTAGTCTTCTAACACTACAGGTCAGGACCACATATTCAATGTTCTCTATTACTGTTCTTTTTGTTGTACCACAAGGGGAAAAGGAACTTGTCCCGTCTCCTACCCAAAACTGTTCTGCCTCTTCTTCATTGCTTTCAGTTAGTGGCCAAATCACAAAACAGGTCTCATTAGTCAGAAAAATAAGAGTTACTTAGGACCCATTTTTCTCCTCCTTAACATGCATTCAGTCAGTCTTACAATCCTGCTAAACAACTTTACATCTTAAAACATTTTATTATCTCTCAAAACATTACTCCCTCTTCACTCCAACTAAAACATCTAAATTGTGCTTCTTAAATCAATTTAATAAATTTCCTTAAATGATTTCTCATCTAGATATCCAGTGACATGCTTGTCCAAATATCTTAAGGAAACCCAATGATGACATCACTCTGATCAAAACCCTTTGCTTCTTTTAACAAAGTTTTCTTTTCCTAAAGTGTGGGTCACCACTATTAGCAGGTTATAAAATCAATTAAGTAGCTTTCAATACCAGTTTTAGAAAACTGTTTCATTTTGTGAAATACACTTGCATAAATCAAAAAATATTGGAGACCACTAGATACACTGTTAAGCTGTTTTGTTCCATTACATACCTACATCATAACACAGTAAACACACAATTTATACAGGTATTAATAATGTACATTGGGTCATAATGTAAGCTCTTCCAGGACATCTTCTTAGTCCCTCATATAACCCATGCCCAAAGAGAATGAAGCAATTTTTTCCTTCTGTGTCTGTCTCATGCTAATGCATCTGTCAGTGTTTTAGTCCCATATTTGCATTTCCTACAAGATGATAAACTTCTAACATAGCACTTGACACAGTTGGTACTTAGTCAGAATTTACTTAAAAGAGTAAAAGTATTCTTTGCTTGTTCAACAAACTATTAACTAGCCTAGGACAGTAACAAATTTTTAAAGGCTTAAAACATGTTGTAACAACTAAACAAGCTATTCTTTCGGAACACTTTGCGTGTGGCCAGATATTTTTCCTAGTGCTTGGCGTATATATACATTATTTAATTCTCACAATCCTTTTAGATATTATCATTTTCAAATGAGGAAACATAGGTAGAGATATTAAATAAGTCCCCCAATTGTCACATAATAAGTGGCAGTGATGGAATTCAAAACCCAAGAAGTTTTGACTCTAGAAAATAAAATATAAATTATAGGATATTAAAAACTTGTTAAAAGATTAGTAGAAAATGAACTTACTTCAAATAAAAGTCTATAATAACATCATTTAAAAATTCTCCTTCATTGAGACAGTGTAGGTCCTCATTAGTAACAGAGATGCCTCCCTTAGCTGGAGGTGGTGGATATACGATCAATCTGTAACCAAAAAAAAAAAAAAAAAAAAATTCAAGCAAATAAACATATTAATGTATATAGTTGAAATGTAATAAAACAGAGGAGAGATTTAAAAGTGTTGCAAATATAAAGGAATTTTCTCACTTTTCTACAGGGCCAATGAAGATGGTATGACCCTCTCCAGTTTCTTCCTCTTCATCAAAAAACTGGAATTCTTGTTTGTTTTTAAGCTGCATTTTAGATTCAAGGGACGCCTGGTAAATGAAATTAAAATATGAATTCACAAAATCAATAGAGAAATTTTTCAACAAAAAGAACAAGCAGAAAACAAGAGCACTTTTCAATTAGGAGGATTAAAAAGATGTAATAGGCAAAACTAGGAGTCACTTTCTTTTTAGCCATAGCTTCTAGAACAGTGATACACTTCCAATTTATTTAAAATTGTTTCTCATTATTGTGTCTTAAGATCTTTACTATTCATATTAAATTAGATTATGTTAATAAAATCCAAAGAACATATACAGTGGTTTTCTTCTACTGGTGGAAGCATACCTCAGTTCAGTAGCTAAGCATTCCATGGCATATGGGAGCAGAGGCTCAGGGAGCACAGTCCAATGCACTTCAGTCCTCCAAAATCAAGGAATCTTTTAAAGGAAGGGCCATCCATTGAAATTTTGAGTCCATCCCAGGTACTTTATGGCTCTAGCTGCTCTATTCTTCCTCTGGAATTACCTCCTGTAATCTATTCTGCAAAGGATGGGGCACTGTCCCCTTCCTTGTTCTATTCTTTTCTATAACCCACTAACTGTGCCGGTACCTTTAATGGTGAGATCTTGTTCAATTTCACCAAGACTGTGCCTTATATAGTGTACTATTCTAAGTTTGTAGACAGGTAGACATATTTTAAGTATTCCCAATAAATTAAGCCAACAAAATTCAGGTGCTTGAGAAAGTTATATTTGTATTATTTAACATTATACTATGTGTTATAGTTGTAACTTTGACCTTTGGTTCAGGCAGTTTTAGAATTACCGCTTATATATATATCAGTTATTCTAGAAATGGATACATATTAACAGTCAAAATCAAATGGTAAGTATTCTTTTTTTGGGGGAAAGATTTGTTTATTTATGCATACAATAACTGGGATATAGGCCAGTGTTGGAGGCGGGGGGAGGGGGGGTTAGAGGATTCATCACAGACATAGAGTGGGGAGCAGAACAGGCATATGAACTGAAATGTACTGCTGAGGAGAGCAGCAGGCGAGATAGGAGAGATCAGTTTTGCCAAATGGGTTATCTCCCTGCTGGGGATCCAACTCATACTGCAGTGGCTGGTGATAGCTTGACAGCATTGTCAAGCTATCTTTAAGCACTGTCTTTAAGCCCTGCATCACCAGGGGAGGCCCTGATAAGTATTCTTTACTTTTCAAGTTTTTAATCTTGTTCCTACATGTTACATGTAAATTTACAATAATGCATCAGGAACCAAAATTCTTTTATTTGTACTGAAGTCAAATGGCACCACTTTCTTTGGCACCAATGAGAACCACTAACAAATTTAAGAAATTTGGTAAGTATAGATTTGAATGTAGCGTATATGTGTATATATATATGTCAAAAGGTTAAGTACTAAGGAAAAAGAAAAGGAGACAAAAAGTAAAGGCAAGAATAGAACATGAAAAGGAACTAAAAATGCTTGAGACCTGTACCAAGTACTATTAATGTCAAAAGCCATCTATTTACCATGCTTCAACATAAAATTGTTTACAAATCACATAAAAAGCAAATAATTTTAAAATAAAATTAAAAAATCTAACTTTGATATGAACAGTGAAACATGAAACTTATTTCCCTTTAAAATTATGTTATTTAAAATTATATTTGAAAAATTTTAAAAATGTAATTACATTTTTTATTTTGTTTTCTTTTTGTACACAACTTCCTTTGATGCTTTCTTCATAGGTTCTTGTACAGGCAACAAGTCTGCTATTGGCTTCTTCAAAGGGAATTTTCATAAAAAAATTGGACACATTATTCTTTATACCAATGTCAGTAATGATATTTTCAAATACCATATTTGCCTGAGGATCAAGGCCATTTTGAAAAATTAAAATTATATACTGTTCTTCCAAATCTGAAAAGAAATAATATAACCATTAAGTCTAAATGGAAAAAAAAAAACAAACTAATTGTATAGATGTTAGAAAGCATAACAACTTGTTATTTCAAGTATACCAGAAATCCTGGTATAAATTTTCAAAACAATGTTTGATACACAGTACACATAAGATAAACACTGGAATAAAAGCCAGTGACAAAGCTACCCAAAAATGAAACCTAAGTTATTAAGAGAAAGGAACCAGAACATGTTAGGAGCAGCAGCAGTTACAGAACAAATCTATACATGAATGTAAGTAATACACTTCATCTAAGAGAATCCAAAAATATTTATGGTTTTAAATATACATCAATTAACTTTGTTAAACATAAGTAGTAAACTGCCAAGGAACTGATGATATTTCTAGAAAATTCAACTGCAAAAACTGCTATTCACTAATGGTGAATAGCATTGCTGCAAAGTATTTTACAACCAGTCATGCTATGCCATAAATGTTAGAGATAAAGGAAAACAAACTAGACAACCACATCTATTAATTATAGAAGATGAAATTCATTTTATGAATTTGCAAAATTCCTATTCAGGTTATATCAAGGATTCCTGATTTATATGGTAGATTTACATTTTATAATTTCTTCTAGTGTTAAAGAAATTCCTTTACTAGCATATAAAATGTTGTAATAAAAAGTAGAGATCTTTTGAATTATAATCAATTTCGAAAATTTTAAATGGGTAAACCTGAGTTTTAACTTCAGATCTCCTGCTTTTAGTGAGCTTCTCCTCATCTGTAAAATAGGGGAAATAATGTCTATCTTACAAGGTTACTGCAAGGATTGTTGATAATATACACGTAAGATATCTATCAAGGTGCACTTATATTCTACTAGTACATAAATTGTATGTATTATTACATCTGTTCTACATAACTTACTTGTTAACTTATTTATTCCTTTACAATCATTCCAAACTTTATCTTCCATATTCATTTGCAGTTGCATGCTCAGCTTTTGATAAACTGCTGGTATTGTCTGAAGAAACACTACTGGTAATTTTCGTACATTACACCATTCACATTTAGTTAGATCAGAGGTATTTAAAGTAATCCCTACAGGATCATTTTCTGGTTCTGGAGAAAAACAAATGGAAAAGGAATTAGGTCTTAGGAGGGCAGAAACTGAGTGGGGGAAACTGAGTAAATACTAAGTTTTAAAGCTAAGCACAAATTTATACTATATAATAATTTCAGTGAGAAATGAAGAAAAATCTCTAGGACTCTCTTACTGAGGATACGTATTTTTCCAAATGAGAAGAGGGTTCTCATGAAGTGTACTCATAAAATCAGATAGGTTTTCTGAAGTTACAGAATAAAATTCTATATATTTACAAAAAGATATATTTATGTTCTTTGTTATGATATATGCAATAATCATTATGAATTCTATGAATATCATTTAATCTTTTATTCCTGTATAGTGCTTTACTGTATAAAAAAACTATTAATGAGTAAAAAGATATAAAATAGCTTACCTTCTAGCTGTATCTTGATAAAATCTAAACAAAACTAAAACAAAAACAGATATACATTAATACCAGTCACAGATATATGAAGATTTTGCTTCTAGCAGCCTAAAATGACATGTTATTTGGAACTTACTAAAGACAGCAGAAAAACTGAGCCATCTACCACGTGTTTAAATATAAGATGTCCGGGCCTCCTTGGTGGCGCAGTGGTTAAGTGCCGGGTTGAGAAGCTGCCCACAGCCTCTGCAGCGCCAGTTTGATCCCCAGCTGCTCCCCAGCCACCGGAGGAGGGTTCCACATGGCACACAGACCTCTCCTGCTGCCCACTGCTCCCCTCAGCAGTGTGCTTCAATCCTTCTGCCTGCTCTGCTCCCCGCTCTGGCTCTGGTGAATTCTCTCACCCTCCCGTGCTTTCTGACTGTACCCAGTGATTGTATAAATAAATAAATAAAAATAAATCTTAAAAAAAAAAAAGATGTCCTTCCCCCACCCAAATTTCCTCTCAGAAAGGCATGTGGTTTACCATTTTTGTTCAAGTACCTAAAACATTTCTTTGTTTTACTTCTTAAAACTTCAATGAGAAGGGCCTCCCCCAGTGGCGCAGCGGTTGAGCGCTGGGTTGCGAAGCTGCCCACAGCTTCTGCAGCGCCAGTTCGATAACAGGCTGCCAGGCGAGGGTCCAGCATGGCACACAGACCTCTCCTGCCGCCCGCTGCTCCCCTCAGCAGTATACTTCATCGGTCTGCCTGTTCTGCTCTAGCAGCTCTAGCTCTGGTGAATTCTCTCACCCTCCCGCACTTCTGACTATACCCAGTGCTTATATAAATAAATTAATCAAAAAAAAAAAAAAGTGATCAAAAAAAAAAATTCAATGAGAAGCTGACAGAATATTAAAATGAACAACCGAACAATCCTTACTTAGATTCATTGTTAATATACTGCCATACCTATTCTATCACTCTGTGTATATATATACACACTTCCCTTTTGCTAAGCCAGGTTACACATTTGTTATTTCTGTTCACTCCAATCTATACCAGAAACCTGCTTCTCTGTTCTTCATGACCAGCATTTGAAAAGCCCAAAATAGGTTCTGTAAAATATACAACATCCTAGACTTGTGTTTTGTCATTTTTAAATATAGGCCATACATTTCCAGCAAATACAGCACATATTTGATGTTTTATACCTCCGACTTACATAATATCCAAAGACACATGATGCTAGGCTATTCCACTATGATTCAAGCTTAATTACTTGGAGAAAGCAGTGTACCTGGTCTTTCTACTATAGAGAAATATTTTTTCCCCTTTTAAATTAAGTCTGTGTGGAAATACTTGAAAGCCTGTGAATATCCTGTTCCCTAATAAACTTTCACCCAATTATTTTTGCATGTTTTGAAGATCCTGATTCTGTTGTTACTGGTTTTAAAAGATGATTTTCTAACAAATTAATGTGGAAAAACGCATTAAGGCTGATACACAAGAATGAATAGTAATTTTTTTACCCTTTTTTTAAATTTCATAAAGTACTATATTTCTTTCTGTTTCTTTTTTAAAGATTTATTTATTTCTGTATACAAGAACTGGGGTACAGAGTTGCGGGGGGTGAGAGGATTCACCAGAGACAGAGAGGGGAACAGAACAGGCTAATTGACTGAAATACACTGCTGAGGGGAGCAGTGGGCGAGACAGGAGAGGTCTGTGGTGCCATTTGGGATAGCTCCCTGGCTGGTCAGGATGGAACTCATGCCGTAGTGGCTGCTGATAGCTTCATAGTGCTGAGACTTAACCTCGTGCACCACCAGGGAGGTCCTTGAATTAATAGTAATTTTTGTGTATTTACACAAGCTAAGAAAATCAAACTTAAAAATAATTTTAAAAATTTGGTTTGCTATATAGGGGGTGAACATAAGAAAAACAAGTTTAGCAATAAAATGCCAATGGCATTATCTAGCTGGGGTTTTTAAGAGTGTTCATTATAAAATTCTTACAACTCTTCTGCCTAAAGGTTTTCACAATGTAAAAAAAGCAAGGAAAAATAAATTTAGCATTATTACAGTAAATGCAAAGTCTACAATGTCACTAATCATACATTCTGAAGACTGGTTTCACTGGAAAGTAACAATTTAATTGGGCACATCAGGAATGGTTAGTTCTATGTTGGGACACATTCCAATATATGCTTTGCTTTATATAGAAGCATTTAAATAAAATTGTTACCAGATATATATGCAAAGAAACAAGTCTAAACATTTGCCACTTAAAGATTTGTGCACACGTAAATTATCAGTAACACTGAGTTATTTCACCTACATCCCGCCAAGAGTTTTGAAATTTTGGTGACTGAAAAATCTTGTTTATGCTTTCAATTTTCTCATCAGAAAATTTGCTCATATATGGTATTCCTAATAATATAAGCCATTTTTCTGCTGCATGAAAGTATTTATTTTAAAATAAAATTGGCACATCTAGATCATGCAAATTCTGAGTGAATATAAAGAAATTACCTAATAATAAATGATTACAAAATTTGATAAAACATCTGAACATTGAAATATTTAAAAGCTATTCCTCAGCTTAACCATGACAAGGGAGATAAATCAATCACTACAAAATACAAAATACAAGCACGTTATCTTTAAAAAGAAAATGCCAAATCATCTTTTTTCAATAGATTATCTGAAGAATATACAAATTTACTATACTTCATAAAAGAATGGTCTCCAGGAAAATTCTATGATACAATTAAGGTGAATATTAAATCTTGCATATTTCCACATTATAAGCACAACTGCTTTTTGGTTAACATACTTCATTTAGCATTTTAAATAAAAAAATCTGTATCTATATATTTTACATTACACACATTACCTTTTATTTCTTAAAACAAACTTACAAAGTTAAGTTTCTCTTCATTGTATCATGCATAACCCTAACTGATAACTTTTCTTATGACTGTAAAAAAATTTCCTTCAGTATCTTAATATAGTTTTTAATAGGTAGCCTGAGAGAAAACATACAACTTATAATTAAATGTATCAAATCATGAGCAAAACTTTAATGATCATACTAAATGTCAGGGAAGCCATGATAAAACATAAGAGGGTTCTCCTGGGAATTCTGAGGTATAGTGACATTTTTGTTAGCTGACAGAAACCAGGAAAGATATCTACACTATGTAGTATGAACACTAGTATCAAAACAGTTTCATAAATCCTTAAAAACTCTGAAAAGTGTTTACAATATTACTGGACAAAATGGATAGTTTATGTATATTTGCTTTAAATTTCTGGAATACTTTTGGAACTTCTAGTTTTTAAATCATGAGGAGATGCATTTTTTGATAAAAGAGGAAAACGCTGGCTTCCCATGTAGCATTGCTCTGATGGTAAATCAGGTTTACATTCATTTGCCCTAAAGACTAGCCTGTAAAATTTTTTTCCTTTTAAAAAGGGAGAAAGCACAAATAAACAGGATCATCAATGAAAGAGGAGAAATCACAACGGACACAGCAGAAATCAAAAGAATAATCAGTAACTAATATGAACAGTTATATGGAAACAAGTTTAACAATCTAGAGGAGATGGACAAATTCCTACAACTCTACAATCACCCAAAGCTAGATAAAGAAGAAATAGAACACCTAAACAGACCAATTACAATTAGCGAAATTGAAATGGTAATCAAAAACCTCCCCAAAAACAAAAGCCCAGGACCTGATGGATTTACAAATGAATTCTACCAAACATTCAGAGACGAATTAGTGCCTATCCTTCACAAACTCTTCCAAAAAATTGAGAAGGAAGGGACAATACCAAACACGTTCTATGAAGCCAATATTACACTAATACCAAAACCGAATAAGGACAACACAAAAAAGGAAAACTATAGGCCAATCTCCCTAATGAACACTGATGCAAAAATCCTCAATAAAATTTTAGCTATCAGAATCCAACAATGTATCCATAAGATAATTCACCACGACCAAGTTGGATTCATTCCAGGGGCACAAGGATGGTTTAACATCCGAAAATCAATCAACGTTATCCAACACATCAACAAAAAGAAATATAAAAACCATATGATAATATCAATAGATGCTGAGAAAGCTTTCGACAAAGTGCAACACCCATTCATGATAAAAGCCCTTGAAATTCTTGGGATACAAGGAACATACCTCAACATCATAAAGGCCATCTATGACAAGCCAACAGCCAGTATCATTCTCAATGGTGAAAAGCTGAAAGCAATTCCATTAAGATCTGGAACAAGACAAGGATGTCCACTCTCACCACTGCTTTTCAATATAATACTGGAAGTCCTAGCCAGAGCAATAAGACAAGAGAAAGACATCCAAGGAATCCAAATAGGAAAAGAAGAAGTCAAACTATCACTATTTGCAGATGATATGATAATATACATAGAGAACCCCAAAATCTCCACAGAAAAACTAATTCAACTCATCAATCAATTCAGTAAAGTGGCAGGATACAAAATCAACACGCAAAAGTCAGTGGCCTTCCTATACACAAACAATAAATCTGAAGAAGAAGAAATCACAAAAACCACCCCTTTTATTATCGAAACAAAAAAAATCAAATATTTGGGAATAAATCTAACAAAAGAGGTAAAGGACCTATACAAAGAAAACTATAAAACACTGTTAAAAGAAATAGAAGAAGACACAAAGAAATGGAGAGACATCCCCTGCTCATGGATTGGAAGAATAAACATTATTAAAATGGCCATCCTACCAAAAGCAATATACAGATTCAATGCTATTCCAATCAAAATCTCAATGGCATTCTTCAAAGAAATAGAACAATTATTGATGAAATTCATATGAATCACCAAAACCCGAATAGCCAAAGTTCTACTGAAAAAAAAAGAAGGAAATGGAGGCATCACACTCCCAGACTTCAAGCTATACTACAAAGCCATAATCATCAAAACTGCATGGTATTGGAACAAGAACAGACATACAGACCAATGGAATCGAATAGAAAATCCAGAAATAAACCCACAGATTTATGGTCAACTAATCTTTGACAAAGGAGCAAAGACTATGCATTGGAGCAAAGAAAGTTTGTTCAATAAATGGTGCTGGGAAAACTGGGTCGCTACATGCAAAAGAATGAAGCTTGACCACTACCTCACACCATACACAAAAATCAACTCAAAATGGATTAAAGAACTAGACATAAGACCTGAAACCATAAAATACATAGAAGGAAATATAGGCGAAACACTACGGGATTTGCACATCAAAGACATCTTTAAAGACACATCACCCAAAGCAGTGATAGTGAAGAGAAAGATAAACAGCTGGGACTACATCAAATTAAAGAGCTTCTGCACAGCAAAAGAGACAATAACAAAAACAAAGAGAAACCCCACCAACTGGGAGAACATTTTTGCACCCAACACTAATGATAAAGGACTGATCACAAAAATCTGCAAAGAGCTGATGAGACTCAGCAACAACAAAGAAAATAATCCAGTCAAAAAATGGGCAGAAGAGCTAAAAAGAAACTTCTCTGAAGAGGAAATGCAAATGGCCAACAGACATATGAAAAAATGTTCAACATCACTTGTAATCAGGGAAATGCAAATCAAAACTACCATGAGATACCATCTCACACCAGTGAGAATGGCACATATTAAAAAAACTAGCAACAACAAATGTTGGCGAGGATGTGGAGAAAAAGGAACTCTTGTGCACTGTTGGTGGGAGTGCAAACTGGTCCAACCACTATGGAGAGCTGTGTGGAGATTTCTGGACCTACTAAACATAGAGCTTCCATATGATCCAGCAATTCCACTCCTAGGTATCTACCCAAAGGACACAGAAACATCAATTCCAAAGAGCACCTGCACTCCTATGTTTATAGCAGCACTGTTTACAATAGCTAAGCTTTGGAAACAACCCAAATGCCCAAAAATAGATGACTGGATCAAGAAGATGTGGTACATATATACCATGGAATATTACTCAGCATTCAAAAAAGATAAACACATGCAATTTGCAGCAACATGGATGGCACTGGAAGGGATCATGCTCAGCGAAATAAGCCAAAAAGAAAAAGAAAAATACCGGATGGTCTCACTCATAGCAGGAATCTAGAAAACTTAAATAAGGGACCAGGAAATGAATATAAGAAAGTAAAAATCAAAATCAACAAAAAACTATGAACCAGAGACACTTTTGGGGGGTGGTGGGGGCGGGAGGGGAAGGATTGGGGTCAGAATGGGGCGTTTGCAATTGTATGGGGGAATATAAAAATAAAATTTAATATTTTAAAAAAAAAATAAATAAATAAATAAATCTATATAAACTCATAAAAAAAAAAAAAAAGAAATCAAAAGAATAATCAGTAACTACTATGAACAGTTATATGGAAACAAGTTTAACAATCTAGAGGAGATGGACAAATTCCTACAACTCTACAATCACCCAAAGCTAGATAAAGAAGAAATAGAACACCTAAACAGACCAATTACAATTAGCGAAATTGAAATGGTAATCAAAAACCTCCCCAAAAACAAAAGCCCAGGACCTGATGGATTTACAAATGAATTCTACCAAACATTCAGAGACGAATTAGTGCCTATCCTTCACAAACTCTTCCAAAAAATTGAGAAGGAAGGGACAATACCAAACACGTTCTATGAAGCCAACATTACACTAATACAAAACCGAACAAGGACAACACAAAAAAGGAAAACTACAGGCCAATCTCCCTAATGAACACTGATGCAAAAATCCTCAATAAAATTTTAGCTATCAGAATCCAACAATGTATCCATAAGATAATTCACCACGACCAAGTTGGATTCATTCCAGGGGCACAAGGATGGTTTAACATCCGAAATCAATCAACGTTATCCAACACATCAACAAAAAGAAATATAAAACCATATGATAATATCAATAGATGCTGAGAAAGCTTTCGACAAAGTGCAACACCCATTCATGATAAAAGCCCTTGAAATTCTTGGGATACAAGGAACATACCTCAACATCATAAAGGCCATCTATGACAAGCCAACAGCCAGTATCATTCTCAATGGTGAAAAGCTGAAAGCAATTCCATTAAGATCTGGAACAAGACAAGGATGTCCACTCTCACCATTGCTTTTCAATATAATACTGGAAGTCCTAGCCAGGGCAATAAGACAAGAGAAAGACATCCAAGGAATCCAAATAGGAAAAGAAGAAGTCAAACTATCACTATTTGCAGACGATATGATATTATACATAGAGAACCCCAAAAACTCCACAGAAAAGCTAATTCAACTCATCAATCAGTTCAGTAAAGTGGCAGGATACAAAATCAACACGCAAAAGTCAGTAGCCTTCCTATACACAAACAATAAATCTGAAGAAGAAGAAATCGAAAGACCATCCCTTTTGTTATTGAAACAAAAAAAATCAAATATTTGGGAATAAATCTAACAAAAGAGGTAAAGGACCTATACAAAGAAAACTATAAAACACTGTTAAAAGAAATAGAAGAAGACACAAAGAAATGGAGAGACATCCCCTGCTCATGGATTGGAAGAATAAACATTATTAAAATGGCCATCCTTCCAAAAGCAATATACAGATTCAATGCTATTCCAATCAAAATTTCAATGTCATTCTTCAAAGAAATAGAAAAATTATTGATGAAATTCATATGGAATCACAAAAAACCCCGAATAGCCAAAGCTCTCCTGAAAAAAAAAGAAGGGAATGGAGGCATCAGACTCCCAGACTTCAAACTATACTACAAAGCCATAATCATCAAAACTGCATGGTATTGGAACAAGAACAGACATACAGACCAATGGAATCGAATAGAAAATCCAGAAATAAACCCACAGATTTATGGTCAACTAATCTTTGACAAAGGAGCAAAGACTATGCATTGGAGCAAAGAAAGTTTGTTCAATAAATGGTGCTGGGAAAACTGGGTCGCTACATGCAAAAGAATGAAGCTTGACCACCACCTCACACCATACACAAAAATCAACTCAAAATGGATTAAAGAACTAGACATAAGACCTGAAACCATAAAATATATAGAAGGAAATATAGGCGAAACACTACGTGATTTGCACATCAAAGACATCTTTACAGACACATCACCCAAAGCAGTGATAGTGAAGGCAAAGATAAACAGCTGGGACTATATCAATTAAAGAGCTTTTGCACAGCAAAAGAGACAATAACAAAAACAAAGAGAAACCCCACCAACTGGGAGAACATTTTTGCACCCAACACTAATGATAAAGGACTGATCACAAAAATCTGCAAAGAGCTGATGAGACTCAACAACAACAAAGAAAATAATCCAGTCAAAAAATGGGCAGAAGAGCTTAAAAGAAACTTCTCTGAAGAGGAAATGCAAATGGCCAACAGGCATATGAAAAAATGTTCAACATCACTTGTCATCAGGGAAATGCAAATCAAAACTACCATGAGATACCATCTTACACCAGTGAGAATGGCACATATTAAAAAAACTAGCAACAACAAATGTTGGCGAGGGTGTGGAGAAAAAGGAACTCTTCTGCACTGTTGGTGGGAGTGCAAACTGGTCCAACCTCTGTGGAAAGCTGTGTGGAGATTTCTGGACCTACTAAACATAGAGCTTCCATATGACCCAGCAATTCCACTCCTAGGTATTTACCCAAAGGACACAGAAACATCAATTCCAAAGAACACCTGCACCCCTATGTTTATAGCAGCACTGTTTACAATAGCTAAGCTTTGGAAACAACCCAAATGCCCAAAAATAGATGACTGGATCAAGAAGATGTGGTACATATATACCATGGAATATTACTCAGCATTCAAAAAAGATAAACACATGCAATTTGCTGCAACATGGATGGCGCTGGAAGGGATCATGCTCAGCGAAATAAGCCAAAAAGAAAAAGAAAAATACCGGATGGTCTCACTCATAGCAGGAATCTAGAAAACTTAAATAATGGACCAGGAAAATGAAAAACTATAAGAAAGTGAAAATCAAAATCAACAAAAAACTATGAATCAGAGACACTTTTAGGGGGGCGGGGGCGGGAGGGGAGGGATTGGGGTCAGAATGGGGGGCGGCAATTGTATGGGGAATATAACAATAAAATTTATGAAAAAAAAAAAAAAAAAAATTTTTTTCCTTTTGATCATATTGTATTCCAGAGACATCCATGCTAGAAAATAAACAGCTATTACGCCAAAATTAAATTCTGATAATTTTAACTTTCCTTATATGATGTGTTTTCTTAAAAATACAGTATCAGTATGGTAGAAAGGGCAATACTTAAAGACTGAGTTTGAAATAGTAGTTGTAAACACACAGGGACATCAAATTAAGATATAATTAAATGAAACACTTACAAAAAGTGACAACTTAAAAAGGTGATTAAGGAGATATTAAAATAGAAAATACACATACTGGGTTAGTGGCAGTACAATAAGTAGGTCAGAGAGGTAAGCTAAAGGAATTGCAGAAAGTCCTTTACTCTTTGTGGACAATGAGGTCTTCCGAGTACAGTGGTACTTGAGTGGCCATTGTACTCTGTAATCTATTTCTAGTAGTCTTAAGGATGCAAGACAATTTTCTGCAGACTCTAAAACCTTTGGATACTTCTGTCTCATACTTTTTTAAGATACACTTCTCATGCATTCAACTGGCATAGAATAAAACAACAACATATTAGAGTTTTCTAAAGTCAGTAAAAATAATTATCTTCCTATGATAAATGTCACTCTCTGAGCATTACATTATAATAAATTTTTTACACAAATGAATTTTTATGGCAAGGATGTATTCATAATTTTTTATATACTCAAAAGTAATTTGAAATCCTGAAATAACTAAAATTCTATTAAATTAAATAGCTTAAATGTATAAATCTAAAATATTATGTATTGGCCTGAGCATGGAATTCTGAATCTTACAATTGGTACAGGAAAATGATTAAGAATGTACTTACAATTACAGGCTCTATTAATAGCCGGAAAAGTGTTCCTACTCGTATACTTCGACAGTTTAAAATGACACTCTCAAAGGAACTTTGGCAGCTTAATGACACAGGATCAACTACAGTTTCTTGAGCAACCACTTTACGCCTTTTCAGAGGTGTGTTGATAACAGAATTACCAAACTGAAAAGGAAAATTTTTATCAAATAAGTTACTAAAAGAAGACTACAAACTGAAAGTACCCACATACAAAGAAGACCCAAGAAAGGAAATGCAATCAAAACATAAGACTGATATTCCAATTGACTGAAGTAAAAATATACTGAGTTTATATAAAACAAATTCCTTGTATGAAGTCATTACCTAAGATTCAAGTAACAACATAGGAACGGTATACTGGGAAGCAGACTGGGTTCAAATCACAATAATATCACCATTTAATGATTTGACCTTATAAAACAACTCCTTACAAGTTTTGGTCTCCTAAACTGTAAAATAGGGAAATTATCTACTGAAATGAGATAAATGTATATAAACAGTTTAGCACAGTACTTTATCCTTTTATCCCAAGGGAGAGACAATATGATAAATGTCAATAGATGTTAAAAGTACCTGGTCTTTCATTCTTGCTTTTCTTGGTAATGTAACTGTATTTAACTCTGAATCTGCTGGAATGCTTCTTAAGTCATTCTCTACTCTACTGGTATTTTCATTCAGTGCAGCTTCTACTTTTCCAGTGGATGGTGCTGGGGAAGAACATGCTGAATCAGCAGGTTGAGGAGATATGCTCTCTCTTCTGTTAGTCCTGTCATTGTCATCTTCATCATCACTGGATAAAATGACTATGAAGAAAACGTTAAATGCTTCAGATTTTTCATTTCTATCAGTCAAAAATATAAATATATTACTAAAGTGGGGAAATACACCAAAATTGCTTTGCATTTTCTCCAGATTTGAGATTAAAAATGAATGAACATACAATTCATTCTATCTGATTTTAAATTATGAAGAAAGCATAATTGGCATCTTTTCTTTTTTTTTACAACATAGAAACATGAAATTGATTCTATAGTCTACCACCACTCATCTACACAAAAATAGACACAAGTTACAATAATAATTAAATATGGGTAGTCTAGTTCAAAGTTTCAAAAAAGGCTAACAGTATGACGATAATAGGCATACAAATTATTCACAAAATAACATGCACTTAAATATTTGTGAAATTTCATATGGTCAAATAATTTTATCTCATACAGGAATTCATTAAAATCATAACTGGTCTTTGGGGAAATTTGGATCAATGCTTAATGCTCAATAAATCTTGAATAAATGAATGTGGCAAGGAAAGACTATGCAGATAATTTGGTTTTATGTATTATACTCTTTGTTGAATCTTTTCAAACCCATCTCTGTATCATAATCCCTGAGAATCGCCCACACTGCACTTGAGTCCAATCCTAACTCCTTACTCTGATTTATAAATGTACATAATCTGGCCCTTGTCTACTTTTCCAAAATTTTCTCATATAACTCCATTTCCTTCTTTATGCTCCAAACACACCAACCATCTTTTCTGTTCTTCAAATACTACAAACTTGTCCTTACCTGGATTGCAATTTACCTAGCAACTTGCATTTTTGTCATCAAATACTGGATTAGATAGCACTTTTTGATTAACTACTTAAAGTAAGCACAGAGGTACTTACTTATTTATAGCCACTGACTTAAAATTTTCTTTTTTTGTGATGGATGCTGACTTGTTACCTGTTTCCCCCATTTTCCTTTCCCCCACTAAATAGAAACTATAAGAGAACAGGTCTCTTGCCTTAATCACTGCTGTATCACCAAGAGGCTAAAAAGTATTTGACACAGAAGAGCATTCAAAATCATGCACTAAAGAATGTATAAACTTATGTGAGCAACTTTCTTTTAGTATCCCTCACATAAATGCTTATTATTATTTTTTTAGCAAAATTTTTGTTCCAAAGAGGCATCAACTCCAGCATGACTCTGCATGTCTTAAGCCCTACTTAGGATGGCTATAAGGAGGTAATAAAGGTTAAATGAGGTCATAAAGGTGTCGTTGTAAGGAGTGGAGGTGCCACCTCCCCACCCAAATGAAAAAGAGATAAAGGCCATGTGAGGACATAGTGGCTGTCTGCAAGCCAGGAAGAGAAGCTTCATCAGACAACAACATTGATAGCACCTTAATTTGGGACCTCAGCCCCCTGAACTGTGGGCTCTCGTTTAAACCAGTTTTGATAATCTGTTAAGACAACCTGAACAGAATAATGCAGGATTTTTGTTTTTAGGATTTAAACTTGTTCCCCTTGATATCAGTGTATCTTCCCCTTCACTTTTGTCCTAGGCTCTATTCAAAAGTCACTTTATCAAACTTACCTATTTCACCACTTATCTAAACTAGCATCCTTCCTTACCTTAACACACAACAAAACTACTCCTTATCTTAACACACAACAAAACTACTACCTGGACCCACTTGACATTTCTACACAGAATTACTCAGTACTTGAAATGCTGTACAATGCATTTATTATTTGGTCAGCTGTAATAGAATAAAAGCTGTATGATAATAAACTATTTAAATAGGAATACAAATTTAAGAATGATTAAACATATAAACAGATTCTAAAACCAGAAAAATCTAAACTCAACTCGTATAGTATGTACACACATACAATGGGGTGGGTGGGGAGGTTGGGGGAGAAGGGGAAAGGGAGAGAGGGAGGGAGAGAGAGGGAGAGGAAGGATGAGGGAAGGAGAGGGGGAGGGGGGAGGGGGGAGGGAGGGAGGGAAGGGAGGGAGAGAGAGAGGGAGAGGGATAGGGAAAGAGGGAGGGAGGGAGGGGGGAGAGAGAGAGGGAGAGAGGGAGTGAGAGAGAGAAGTTATTCAATCTCCTTAAGCCAAGGCTGCTTTAGTACCTCAATTACTGGAAAATATTTAGGTTTTCTTTTTTGATCTAGGAAGGGGAGTAAATTTATGTTTTATGATTTTAATAGTTAATATGGTTCTAGGTTTTTTTTTTCTGAATAGCAAATTACTTAATTCACATCACAACCACATGAATTAATTTATTTCCTTATCAAATTACATGATGAATATAAACATGCTATTTTCTTAGGCATTTTTTTTACTTGTTAAAATTAGCCTCATTGACTTCCAGTTCCTTTCATCCTGGGAATCATGTCAGGATGTTACGTTTCCTATATAAAGTTTGGCTTAGGAATAACTCGTAACTGCCTAGTGAGTTTTCTTTATATCTTACCATTAAAATATAATGTCCTCACCATTAGGAAATATTCAAATGATACTAACAATATTTGACATTGCACCAGTATAATTGCATTAAAATATATAATTATTTTATAAAGTATCAACATTATAACAGTGGTGGTTGAATAGCTATCACAGAATGAGTTGTTTATAACCAAGTCCTTTTTGAAATATAGGTTAATGTATTAATGGAATTAAGTTTTTATACTGAATTGAATTAAAATAGAACATGACATTATTTCTGAGGTAAAAAATTTTTTTCTTAACTTTCATACCCCTGATTTACCAGTTTTTAGAATAATAATTTGGAATCTTTTTTTAAATTTTTTTAAAATAAATTTTATTTTTATATTCCCCATACAATTGCAATGCCCTTATTTTGACCCCAATCCCTCCCCTCCCCACACCCCACCCCTCATAGAGTGTGTCTTGTTCGTTCATAGTTGTTTGTTGATTTTGATATTTTCTTTCTTATGGTTATTCTTTTTCCTGGTCCCTTATTTAAGCAATCTCCAAAGATAACCACTGGACAGCATTTTGTTTTTGTTTTTGTTTTTTTTGACAAAAGTAAGGGTATATCATTATAAATTTAATTATTTTAATATATTTGGCATGTTTCAATAATTAGCAGTTACTGCTTTTGTGACCCAAGACACATTATCAGTCAGTGGGATCTCCTTCACGTTACCTCTGTGTACTTTTGATATATCTATAATTTTTGAATGCTTTCTGATAGTTATATGATCTGTATTTGTGCTCCAGACCAGCAGTCAACCATTTTTCGGATGGTTATGTCTCCCGGGCTATTTTTGAGTGGGAAATGGTACTTAAAAACACACGTATGGGAAATACGGTTGTTCACATCTATATTATGGTTCCTAGTCATTTTCTATGGGAAAAGCTATTTTTTGTTTAAGAGAAAATATGTATTAACACTATTACGCCACTTCAAAAGTAACATTACAGATTTCAATAACCTATTTGCTTCATCAATATAGATGTTTAAAGAGAAAAATAGCAATGTTATTTTTTTTAATTTTCTTTTGAAGATTTATTTATTTACACAAGAAATGGGGTACAGGCCAGATGTGCAGGAGGATGAGAGGATTCACCAGAGACAGAGCAGGGAACAGAACCGGCAGACTGACGAAATACACTGCTGAAGGGAGCAGCGGGCGAGACAGGCGAGGTCTGCTGCACCATGTGGGTTTCTCCCTGGCTGGCTGGGATAGAACCCGCGCCGCAGAGGCTGCAGACAGCTTCATCACAGTGCGGTGCTCAACCGCCTGCACCACCAGGGAGGCCCAATGTTATTATTTTTAATATCAATATTATTAAAATATTACTGAATACATTTAGGATTTCTTTATGATTCTGACCTTAAAATATATCACATAGGGAAATACAGTCACAATATTATTTTAATTCAAATTCATTTGCTATAATTCTCCTATATGTTTAAGTTACCAACTAGATATATAAATAGGTTCGTTTAACTGCTTGACAGTTTTTATTTAATTTTGTTTTGTTATCATTTTAAACATATGTATAGTCCAATGTCAAATCTATAAAACAAGGTTTATTTGCAAAAATCTAGCATCTATCTCTAACTTCTATCTTGTTTCCTCTCCTTCCAACCAACTACTCATTAAAATTAGTTTTTGGTGGATTTTTTTCCCATTTAAAAGAAAAAAAAAACTTGTATTTATTCTCCTATCTTTCATAAATCAAGGGCAACATACTATATACTCTGATTTGCATTTAATTTGTGTATTATCACTTAAAGATTTTGCCACTCTACACAAAGTCAAATCAGATCTTTTCACCCCTCTTACTACTAAACACACTTTAGCTCGTGCCTCATTGTTCTCAATTTTCTGTTATTTATTACAAACAGGACTGCATTCCATATGCACAAATATATGTACAAGTGTTTAAGACAGATTAGGAAAGGAACAAAAATAACTTATTTTCACTGAGTCTTTTCTATGTGTCAAATACTTTAATGGGTTATGGTAAGCACTTTATGTCATTTTATTTATTCTCTTGAAAACACTTATCTGGTAGGAGAGATAGTCATTTATAGATCAGAGAGATTCAATTAACCAGATCAAAGTTAGAAAGTTGAGTATAACTGGCACTTGACTTAAGACTAGGGTCAAGGTTTGTGATTTATCTATTTTAAAATATTTATGATAGACAGGATAACAAACCAGTTATCACTTTCCAACTACCTGGACAAAGTTATTCATCTACTGAATAAATGACACAAGAATATAACTGGTAAGACAATGCTTCTCAAATATGCTCATGCTCACATTAAAAATCTATGTGAAAAATACTGGACTGAGATAAGGAATACTAAAAAAAATTAAATACTTACTTGGATCATTTAGGTCTGACAGGCTTGTTTTCCTTTCCTTAGGGTTTGTGATTTTGGCTATTTTTGCCCTAGGTAAAATGACTTTCCCATTAGGCTGTAAATATTTCTGTCTATTAGCATCACAATTTACAATAATATCAATTGGAACCTTTCCCACACTGTTGCCATAAAATTTCTTGGGTGCCAATCCTGTGTTTTGTGACTTCTGTCCTCCAGAATTCTGATGAATTGATGTTCTTAATAATGGTCCAGAGGATTCATTCAAAGTTACAGCTTGTCTGCAATTTCTTTGCAAATCCTTAGAAAAAAGAATATCACAACTTTGGCATAAGGTCTGATATTTCTTTTCCACATTTTGCACAATATTCACACTGTTGACAAACCTTAAGTTCCAAAAGAATAAAAGAAACAAAAGACTTTGGCATTTTATTTCAACTTCACAGGAACAAAAAGTCTCAAAATTAAGTCTCTCATTCCCCATCATTATTACCATGGCTACCACAGAACTGGAATACGCTATTTGAGATTCAGCATCAGATGCTAGAAGGAATTTTGGAGACCACCTAGTCCAGTAGTCTTCAAATTGGACTATGTATTCTCAAGTTACATAAATATTTTCTAAGTTATATAGAGTATAAAAAATCTTATGGGAATCAATAGCTAGATCCCAAATTTCTACATATAACCTTTCCAAAAACTGATTTGATTGTAAGACGCGTGTCACAATTGTTCTTCTCCAACTTAAAAAAAAAAAATGCTAACAAGGTCTTGCACTGGAAATACCACAATGGTGCACTGTCCTGAGATACAAAAATCATTAAACCAAAGAAAAGGATAATTTAAATACTAGAAAAATGAATCATATTTAAGTACTGGTCAACAAAAATTTTGCAAGACAACAGATTTTTAAGACAGTGCTTCAAAAATATTTGAAGGAATGCCTAATAAAACTGTGAGATCACTGAAATTTTTTCACAGTAGAGTATCGTGATTTTTTAGCATATAACTTGGGAGGAGTTAAAGGTATTAAGTGATATTAATATAATGCATAAATTTCAAGACACTGAACCAAGTGCTTACTTTCCATACATTTTATTCTCTAAATATCTGAGCTTTTGTTTCAAAGATGAAAAAAAAGACAAACATGACCAATAACAATGCCTTTCTACTAAACTATGATACTTATTCAAGGATTTATTCCAGATGATAAAAATGGATGAAAATCAAGCTTAGAGAGGGCAAAACTGAACTTATTAGCGCATGTGCTTGCCATCTCAATATATGTAGATTAGTAAAAAAGAAATGTCTCTTTTCTTTCTGTCAGTACACAGGAGAAATCAGTTATGCTGTATGTGGAGTACAGGTATAAGGAAATTATTTTTCACATTAACACTTTCAATAGAGTCCTGCATATTGTAGCCTATAATACATATGCTAACAGGTAAATTATACAAACTGGCTAGACACAATAATGGAAAAGATTATCTGACTGTTACATTCAACCTACTATTATATTTAGCCTGTTGTCAGTAAGGGAAAGAATAACATATTTGAATGAAATACAAACAATGCAAATGGTTGGTCATGTTCCACTGCACCTGAAAAGGAAAAACTATAAGAAACAAAAGAGCAATCTCGACCAAAATACTACGATATGATGAAACATCTAATCTCCTAAGAAACAGCTTATACTCCACTACTAAACTCCACTATTTCATGATGAGTAAAGTATGGATTTCCACCTCTAGCCTGGTTTAAAGAAAGTTGTGATTAACAAAGAAGAGTAATGTCTGTACCCACCTCTAAATCGGCTGGACATTTTTTTGAAGCAGGAGACAGAGGAGAAGGAGTAGACTGATAGATACTACTGTGACGTTTCTGTGGTACTTTCCTTTTAATTTCAGACTCCAGATGTGATTCAGGCTCTTCCGCTTTCTTCATCATACGATCTAAATGAAGAAAAAAAATGTACAGAAACTAAATTTTATAAATTCCTCATTAATGCTATGAAAAAATACTAATTTATATTAGCAAGTAATTGTATTGTTTAACATAACATTTCAATATGTATAATAAATAACCAGAACTATAAGACCCAGCAGTCATGTCTCAGCTGCTCTTACTACTTTTCATCCCTTACTAGGATCTCTAATGCTGTGGGCCACTTACATCAAGTATATCAGTATTTTCTTAGTTTATTATGTGCTATGAAGGCAACATCAGCACTTTCTGCCACTGATTCACACACACATTTTTATTGTTGAAGTTACTCTTTTTATTTTTTTTTTTGAAGTTACTCTTTTTAGATTGGTAATGAGAAAAATTTGAATTTAAACATTAGGTACAATTGTTTAGATAAAGGAAGCTAAACGAGTCCTCAACAGAATGGTTTTCTGACTTTAAGAAAAACAAACCAGAATCTTATTTTTCAATATTGATTTGATAATTCTCATTAAAAATATAAATATTAAATTATTTAATGAACTCTGAAACAGGACAGTTTAAAATTGGTTACAACTTGAAACCAAACTACTCTACCTATATAATACCAAGTTTTCATACTTCCATTTTCCTATTTTTAATAATACCCTTTTCTTTTGATTATTTTTTTTTAAATGTTTTATTTTATTTTTTTTTTTTTTTATAGAGGCATGTTTTTATTTATTTATTATTTATTTGTTTGTTTGTTTTTGTTTATACATGCACTGGGCACAGTCAGAAGCACGGGAGGGTGAGAGAATTCACCAGAGCCAGAGCGGGGAGCACAGCAGGCAGAAGGACCGAAGTACACTGCTGAGGGGAGCAGCGGGCGGCAGGAGAGGTCTGCTCGCCATGTGGGACCCTCCTCCGGTGGCCGGGGAGCAGCCGGGGATCGAACCGGCGCCGCAGAGGCCGCGGGCAGCTTTGCAACCCAGCGCTCAACCGCTGCGCCACCGGGGAGGCCCTCTTTTGATTATTTTAAAAAGAAATTACACATAAAAATATTTCCAAGTTTACTATAATACTATTTTTTTTTTAAGATTTATTTATTTATATAAGCACTGGGTACAGTCAGAAGCGCGGGAGGGTAAGAGAATTCACCAGAGCCAGAGCGGGGTAACAAACAGAACAGACAGAATGATGACATACACAGCTGAGAGGAGCAGCGGGTGCGGCAGGAGAGGTCTGCGTGCCAGCGTTTGGGGATTGAACCAGTGCTGCAGAGGCTGCCGGCAGCTTTGCAGCCCAGCACTCAACCGCTGCGCCACCAGGGGAGGCCCTATGACACTATTTTAAGAAACCTATACATTCTAGTTTAGTATAATGACATCAAGTTTTACTAAGTGATTTCTAATTTCTCAGTCTTTGCACAAGTTCAAACAACTTTATTTTGCTGGGTATCAAAGCTAGAAAGTTAGCTAATCACTGTTTTATCCTTGTAGTCCCTTCCTCACACACTGAAGAGAATTCTGTTCCCTTATTAACTCTTAAGTTCACTTTCTTCTCCAATTCCATTTCCACTTCATTTGACGTGTTTAATGTTTTGCCTAACCTCTCCTCTCTCATTCCAGTTTTGATTGCTTCAGATTCTTCCCCACCACTGAAAAGGTAATCATCCTAACACAAAAACATGACTCTATCATACAAATGCTTAACATCTTTCAATCATCCTAGTAGCTAAGGAACAAACTCTAAACTCTGTCTCTTGGCAAGGAAAAGGTTGCAATGATATTCTAGTCTCACTTTCAAAGTTTACCTCAAAGAGGTACATTTCTCCATGGTGTTTTCTCTTTCACCTTCTTATATAAGCTGTTCTCATCACAAACAAAGCCCTCCCTATTTATCTAGTAACTTCAAACCATTCTTTGTTAAGAAGCTTCCTCTGTTCCACACGAAGCACAATTCTACAGTCCTCTGCATTTCCACAGTACTTTATTGATATTTGTATTAGCACCCGCACTATTTCCCTATCAGATTAGCAAAGCCTAAAAGAATATGTAATGTTGCTGAAGAGCATGAGAAATAGATATACTGAAATACAATTTGTTGGGAGCTGACACCCTTTATAGAATGCAGTCCTTAAAATGTCTGTAATCTTTGTCCTTATTATTTTATTTCTAGGGTTTTGATTTAAGGAAACAATAGACCAAATATACAGTATGTATGTGTTAGATTATTAATCATACTATATAATATCAAAATGTTGAAAACAACCTAAACCTATGGTACATAATAGTGGGTCACCATGTACTCATTAAAAAAAAGATTAGAGACCTGGATATATTAGCTTGCAGAGATAAGTTCATCCATTTGATTCTTAAACTTCCTTTGTGTTTTCCATGCTGGCTTTCCATTAATATTCCAATATTTTTTAATGCACATATAGGAACCAGATAATAAGATAATAAAGTTTTTAACAGTATGCATAATATAAATGCATTTTAAAAATGGGTATATATGAATAGAAAAAGTCTGAAATTATACACTAAGATGCTAATAGAAGATACACTGGATTAGAGAGGATTTTCTCTAATCCTTTTTAGAGAGAAAATCCTCTCTAATCATTCTCTAATCATTCCTTTTTTCTCTCTAATCATTTCTCTCTAATCATTTTCTCTCAACATTTAAAAGTGGTTTTCAGCCTATTACATCTGGGTATATTCTTAGGCTGGTGTCATATATCTATTTCTTTAATACAACTACTCAAAATCCTACACAAATGCAAAACATAAAAACTTCACACTTACCAACAACTTGGGGTCGACTTAACCTTATAGGATTATTTTCAAATTTTTGGACATGAGGTGGGTATTCTTTCCTAGAAAAGGAAATTTATTCAATTTTATTCTAACAGAAAAGAGATCTTTCAAAATGAAAAAGTTGAGGGAATACTTACAATGTCTTTATTAATACCACAGAATAATAAAAGTGTATTACACAAATATTGCAAAGATTAATACATTAAAAGATCCTTAAGGGCAGTGAATGTATTTTAACTAGAGTATCAGAGTCCACAGCAAGCAGACTTTGAATCAGTATTTAGTAAATGAATCCAAATGAATGTCCTTTCAAAGTAATCACTTTGGGGGCCTCCCCTGGTGGCGCAGAGGTTGAGCGCTGGGCTGCCAGGCTGCCCACAGCCTCTGCAGCGCCTGCTTGTTCCCCGGCTGCCAGGCGAGGGTCCCACAAAAAAACAAAAAACAAAAAACAAAACAAAACAAAAAAACAACAAAGTAATCACTTTGGAAAGGTTCATATTTATTCTCCAATGAACAAAACTTCAGAATTTTTCTCTTGGAACTGCCTTCATAAACAGTTTGTAAAAGCACATTAAAAGAAAACTTCGTTGTCACACAGATTTTTTAATTAAAAAAATCACTTAGTTTAATATACAATTTGCCCAATTCTGCTGTAAATATTTTCAGCTGTTTAGTAACAAACAAATCAATGTAGAAAAATGTAAATATGGAGTAAGATATTGGCTGTAAGGACAATTCCAAAATCAGCACAAAACCAGCCATCAGGGAACAAGTGTTAGTCTTATGACTACACTTAATTTATCGTATCACATTGTTAGACAATATATAATTGATAATATATTTTTAGGATTTTGAACATAAATAGTAAATATTGATACTAAAATACTATGCAAGTACAAACATTAATTTTGAGAAAAGCAAAAAACATATCGCTAGTGGTGGAATAAAATAGTAAATAAGCAGATTTGCAACAAGTGCAATACACCAAGGAGCTCAAATAGTCAAATACTTTCCCACACTACAGAAAAGTTTCTAGAAATATACCCATTTTATTTAACCAAGGAATTAAAAAATAATTTGTTAAGAATCCATTCACACTAGTGGTTAATACCTATCACAAAGAAATGTAATTTATCAAATTAAACAGATATCCTGAAAGAATTTTCCTGTCAGCATTTCATATTCTTATGAAAGTCAAAGTACCTAAACAGGAAAAATATGTAATGACACAAGAAAAATATAGCGATAGTAGTGTATTTGCAGTAACAATGAACAAATAGTGAGCATCATGTGCCAGGTACTGTTCTAAGTGCTTTGTATCTATTAATTCCTTTGATCTGCAGGATAACCTTATTATTACTACTTTATAGATGAGAAAACTGAGGCACAATGAGGTTTATTAACTTGTTGATGGCCACACAACTATTAAACAGCAACACCAGAAGCTGAACCTTGGCAAACTGCATTACTATTGAGAAGTAATGATATTTTCAACATTACTAAGCCCAATTTGGTGAATGTGCACAATTTTCACTGTCAAATTTTAAGATTCTTAAGTTGGGAAGATAAGAATCTGCCTCAGAGATAGCAGTACTACTAATGCTATGAAACAGAAGGTATTTAGTTTTTAACTACACAATATTCAGCTTAAAATAAAATGCATGTTTTTATACTCCATACACTTTCACATTAAGGGGAAAATATATGCATACTTAAGCTTTATCTTAAAATCAAATAACTAATTTTTTAATGTCTAATTTTTTAACTCTACCCTTCCAAAAAAATAAAGGATACCAACACCACAACAGAGATAAAGAATCTGAATCAAACTATGATACTATTATGGTGTATTCCATGAACTTTGTATATTGTATTTTTTTTTAAAGATTTATTTATTTATACAAGCACTGGGTACAGTCAGAAGCGCGGGAGGGTGAGAGAATTCACCAGAGCCGGAGCAGGGAAACAAACAGAACAGGCAGATTGACGAAATACACTGCTGAGGGGAGCAGCAGGCGCGGCAGGAGGTCTGCGCGCCATGTGGGACCCTCACCAGCAGCCGGGGAATGAACCAGTGCTGCAGAGGCTGCAGGCAGCTTCGCAGCCCAGCGCTCAACCGCTGCGCCACCAGGGGAGGCCCTATTGTATTTTAAATAGTGGACAAAAAGGAAAATAATTATTAGTCAAGAGTAGCCACAAATGTGGAAGTTAATTATTTCTTGATTTCTGTCAGTTTGAACTTGCTTGATTACTTATTGAACTTGCTTGATTACTTATTCTGTGGTATGCAGTGAGCAGTTAGTTCAGTTAATAGTGGATATAAGTCATGAGACTACAAATGAAAAGTATATGTGCAGAATGATGAAAATGCTGCACTAATGCACTATATTCTTTGCAATTTGACAATGCAATGAACTATGCATTGCCAATGAGGAACAAATATATTAAATAAATCATGTAATATCTATTACCTTTTCATGTATTGTGATAGTGTTAAAAAACCATTACGCATATCTGCCAACATCTCCAGACTTCATGACCACTTAGTATTAACTCTGCCATTTGTTAAATATCCTTACATAAATTAAGGCAACGTTAAGTCTTGTTTTAAAATTTTATTACGACTAATAAATTACAGCAATAGAAGCATACCTTAAATTTAATACAATATAAGAATTTCAGGATAAAAATAGCACTAGGTTTGCTATAAGAATTAAATTAACATTGTAGCCATATACTATCTTGTGTTCTTTAAACTTAAAACTTAGTTTAGTTTTCTGAAAATTTTGTTAGGAGACCAAAAGTGTAATTTTATGTTAATTTCTTAGTTTGAGGATTCTATCACTCTACAAACACTAAAATTTCAAACTAAACTGGTACAAAGCTCAAGCCTACGACTTAAATTTCACTGACTCTTTCCTACTCCAAACCAAGCAGTAGTAGAAAAGCATCATCTGCAAGATAAATCTATTTTTTTCTATTGCTTTTGAAGGTTTGTGATGTATGTAAGTTGTAGAGGAAACCTCACTTCATGGACCCAGCATTTACAAGTTGCAAAACTGAACTAGAGAGCTTTTTATTATGTGCAGAATGGGCTTCTGCCACGAGGACACAGGAAAATGACAAACTATAAACCAGGAGGTTGGTCCTCACTAGAAACCGAATGTGTTACAGCCTCCAGAATTGTGAAAAATAAATGTTGCAACAAGGGCAATGTTCAAGTGCATTGTAAAAAATGTGGCTACCCTGATCATTTGACTTTTTAAATGTTAAGAACTGTGAGTAGACCCCAAAAGGGACAGTTGTGGATGTTGCAGCATAAGCAGTGAAGAAAGTGATGGAAAAAACTGAAGAACTAAACAAATTTCAGGCATTACAAGAAAAAAGAAAAAGCAAAGAAAAAATCAAATTTTTAAAATGGGAAAAGATCTTATGCAGTTCCACTAAAGGCACTTCAAAATAAATTTAAAATATCAGAAAAAAAGATTGAGTCAAAATAGTGGAAACATCAGAATAAGGCAGAAAAAAAGAGAAAAGCATTCTTCCACCACTAAGAGCTCTGAAACCTGAGCTTTCGCCCTGTATTATAAAATTTTGATTTTGACAAATCATTTGACTTTCCTTAAAATCAGTATATAATTGTGCTTTGCAACAAATCAGCTTTTTCTATATAAAGTAAATAATCTGGAATGTTCTACTATTTAAAGATTAGAGAGCTTCAACTATAAAGTCCTTTTTAAAAAAATAAACAATTTTGGAATAATTTCAGATTTGCACAAGTTTAAGAGACAATTCAGAATTTGCTGATCTCTTCCCCAGTTTCTCCTAATGTTAACCTTTATTACTAACCGTATAAATGTAAAAAAGGAGCTAATGGTGGTATAATGTAGTTAAACACTAAGACTTTATTCAAATTTTACCATTTGGTTGTCTTATCTCCTTAGTCTATTTGTTTTTAGTCTTGCATGGTTGTTCATGCTGGAAGTATTGGTCCATTATTTTGCAGAAAACCCCTCAATCTGGGTCCAATGTTTTCTTCATGGTTAGGATGAAGTTGTGGGTATAAAGGTAGAATCTTAAGAGATAAAGTGCCCATCTCATCATGTCATATAACAGGAAAGACATGTCAATCTGATTGATCACTGGTGATGTTAACCTTAAGCATATGACTAGAGCATTGCCAGTTTTCTTCATTCTAAAGTAACTATTTTCCTTTTTTTTTTTTTAAAGATTTATTTTATTTATGCATACAAGAGCTGTGGTATAGGGTAGAGGTGTGTGTGTGGAGGGTGGAAGGGTTTGGGAGGATTCACCAGAGACAGAGTGGGGAGCAGAACAGGTTGACTGACTGAAATGCACTGCTGAGAGGAGCAGCAGGCAAGACAGGAGAGGTCTGCAGGGCCATATGGGTTAGCTCCCTGGCTGGGGATCAAATTCATGCTGCAGTGGCTGTTGATAGCTTCACAGTGCTGAGACTTAACCCCTTTTCCATTTCTGTACTCTATTTGCAATCAAGTCAGTAAGTCCAGTCACTAAGAGTTAAGTTCCACTTTTTTAAGTTTCACTTCTTATTACAAAATTTAGCTTTATATCAAAAGTGCTGTTCAATTCAAGAATGCTAGACTATTTAACAAGTGATGTACTTATTAAATCATTTCTCTACTACACTGATGCATTAAAATGTATTTTATACTTTAGGTTATAATCCAATTGTTTTTGAGTTCTGGCCCTTGGGAGCTCATTTAGTCGGTTCCTATGACAAGACTGCATTCTCTGATGTCACTTTTTATTGTGGCTAAACGTAACATTTATGAAAATATACATTCACTAATCTGCATATCACCTGCTAATCTGTATGCCATATGGGGGGATGGAAATTTCTCTATATGGTTTCAGTTTTAGTTTATTGTGCTGTTGAAGCAAGTACCCCTTTGTGTTTTTGAGTACCTGCCTGGTTTCAGGCACTACAATATGTTCTATTCTGAATCTGACCTAACCCATCCCTAGAATCAGCCTTTTTTCCACATACCTTTTTTAAGTAGTCTTGAAAACCAGGACC